GATAAATGCATGGGTGGGTGGATGGATGGATGTGTGGATGGGTGGGTGGATGGATGAGTGGATGAATGGATGGGTGGGTGGGTGGATGAATAGATGGGAGTGAGTGGATTGTCGATGGGTAGGTGGAGTGATTATACATGAATGAAGGAATCAAGGGCTGACACTTCTGCACCTGGCCACCACTGCCCCCTGCTGGCTACAGTTAGGACTAGCACCTTAACGCCCAGTGATGCAAATGCTTTTTTCGTTTTTTCAAGACAGTTTCTCTGTGTAGCAGCCCTAGCTGTCCGGGTCTTGCCTTGTAGACCAGGCTGGCCTCACAGAGATCCGCCTGCCTCTGCCTCCTTTAATCCTGCCAGGATTAAAGGCGTTTACCACCACCGTGATGTCAAATGCTCTCCTAACTCAAATGGTCCCCTCACTTGGTTTGGTATGGCAGGTAGGCCAGGCCGACAACTCCCGATCCCTCTTCATAGACTGCTGGCACTCCTACATCTGTTCCTGTGGAGCCCAGAACTCCTGCCTGCTGGGCAAACACTTGCCCCTGGCACTGTAGCTCCAGGTGTCAACAATTTGTATTCCACAGGGTCTCTGTGTGTAGCTCAGGCTGACCTAGCTCACCACGTAGCAGGCTGGCATAAGATGCACAGAAAACACCTTGCCTCCGCCACCCAGGGCTGAGATGAAGGGCATGGGTCATTATGCCTGGCTTTGTTTTGGTGTTTTGGTCTCCTGTAGTTCAGGCTGCCCTTAAATTCACTAGATGGCCTAAAATAAACCTGAACTTCTGATCCTCAGTTCTCCAGGCTTACCTTATCACACCAGCCTTTCTCTCTCTGTTTATCTTATTTTCTCTGTTTGTTTTGTGTAATTGTAGGGTCTCAATCCCCTAGTCCCAGCCTCCTGGCTGCCATGATTCCATGAAAGCCACCATGCCTGCCTCTGTTCACCTGGCCGTGTTCATCTGTTTAGTACTGTGTCCTGAAATTCCACATGTCCCTCAGTCTGGCTTCAAACTCTCTGAGGTCCTTTTGCCTGACTGAAATGCATAAAATGCTATTTAATTTTTACTTCCTTATTTATGTGGTTTTTTTCACACGTGTGAATGTTTTGTCTGCAGACATTTCTATGCCCCGTGTGCACTCCAAGTGCCCGTGGAAACCAGAAAAAGGCTCGGATCCCCCCGGAACTGTTGCTGCACAGCTGTAAACTGTCAGGGTGAACCTGGGAATTGAACCCAGATCCTCTGGAAGAGCAGCAATTGCTCTCAAACACAAAGTCATCCCTCCAGGCACCATTTATTTATTGTAAATATTTCTTTTTAATTTCTTCCTTATTTTATGTGGGTATGTGTGAGGACCTACTTGACTTTATGTGTACCACGCGGTGTGTGTAATTCCTCATTGAGGCCAGAAGAGGGCATGCAATGTGCTGGTAGTGGAGTGAACTGAATATGAGGCTGTGAGTCAACTATTTTTTTTTTTAAGTTTTTTGAGACAGGGTTTCTCTGTGTAGCCTTGGCTGTCCTGGACTCACTTCCTGCCTCTACCTCCCTGAGTGCTGGGATCACAGGTATGTACTAGTATTGGCAATTAAAGTCTGGTCCTCAAGCCTGGACAGACGGCTCAGAGGTTAAGAGCGCTGGCTGCTCTTCCAGAGGTCTTCAGTTGAATTCCCAGCCACCCCACGGTGGCTCATAACCATCTATAATGAGATCTGGTGCCCTCTTCTGGGGCGCAGGCACACATGCAGACAGACACTTGTGCATCAAACAAACAAAGAAAACAAATTTCAGTCCTCTGCAAGATCAGTGCTGGGCCCAATAACCGTTGTGCGATCACTTCATCCCTATCAGTATCCACTTTTGTTATTTTTAATTATTGTTTTAGATATATAGATAGATGTCTTGCCTGTGTATGTTTGTGGTGGTTTAAATGAGAATATGGCCCCCAAACAGCCCCGTGTTTGCGTACTTGGTTCCCAGTTTCTGGGACTATTTAGGAAGGGTTAGGAAGTGTGGCCATGTCGGAGGAGGTCTGCCACTGAGGAGGGACTTTACAGTTTTGAGAGACTGTCGCCATTCCTACCGTCTGTGTCTGCTCTTGTTTGTGGCTCAAGATGTGAGCTGTCCGCTGCTTCCGACTCCATGCTTTTGCTCCGCCTTCATGCACGCTAACCCTCTGAAACCAGGAGCCTAATAAAACGCTTTCTTTTACAAGCTGCTTTGGTCATGGTGTTTGTCGCGGCGGTTGAAGAGTAACTGAAACAATGCCTATGCACCACTTCCGTGCCTGATGCCTGAGGAAGATAGAAGAAGGAACTGGATGCCCGTATGGACGATTGTAAGCGCTGGCAACTGAACCCAGGTTCTCTCGAAGAGCAGCCAGTGCTTTTAAGCTCTGAGCCATCTCTCCAGCCCCATTTTTATTTACTGTCATTTATTTTCCACTGTTGGAGATTTAATCTACGGCTCCGTGCATGCCAGACCCAGCATTAGACTCACCCCGAGCTCTCTCGGGAGGATTCCAGGCTCGGGCATTACCGCCGAGTCAGTCCCCCAACCTTCATGTTTGCGTTTGTGTGTGCCCATTACCGCGTTCAAGGCTCGCCCTGAACGCCAGGTTCTCCCGCCTCTACCATTCATGCCCCAAGCCTCGCGTTGGTATTTTCAGACAGGGTTTCATACGAGCTGGCCGGCAACCCCAGATGCTCCAGTCTCAGCGTCTGGACTGCTCGTGGGACTGACTCCCGACACCGCTTCCCAGTGTGATCGCACAGATTCAGAAAAGGCGGGGCTGGATATGCTTCCCTAGGACACTGCAAAAGCTCCACGTGGGAGCTCCGCCCTCCTCTAGCCACGCCCACACGACACCACGCCCATGCTGTCATTCAGCCGAGTAAAAAGAGGGCGGCCCTCGTTCCCCTGTGGGCGTGGTTAGAACGCCGTGGCCGTTCCTGCTCACCAATGAGGCTGCAGAACTCTACACAGGAAGGGGTGGGCCGCACGGCAGGCTCTGCTTTCTATTGGGTGGTGTGTGGTTGTCAAGGAAACTGCAGTGTGGAGGCGGGGCTTTCTGGTGAGGCGGGTCTTCCGGGACTCCGAAGCTCTTCGTCAGCTGACCCACCGCCATCTTGGCCGCCATTTGCGAGCGGCCCTGAGCTGGGAAGGGAGGGGGTCTGTGGAAGCGGGGCCTTGATCGCCGCTCCTCTCCTCAACCTGGTCTCCGGCTGCAGCCGTCGCTCTGGCCTCCACGTCGTCCCGTCCGCGGCGGCCGGAAGCGCAGCGGGTCGCCCGCCTGAGGTGCGGTCCCCGGGTCCCCCCGCCTCCCAGGGCCGCGGCGGCAGTGTTCCCCTCGGAGGCCGCAGCCCGCGGGCCGCCGCGATGGCCCTCAAGATGGTCAAGGGCAGCATCGACCGCATGTTCGACAAGAACCTGCAGGATCTGGTCCGCGGCATCCGCAACCACAAGGAGGACGAGGTGAGCCGGCGCGGAGCTGGGCTGCCCGGCTCTTCCCCACAGCCTCTGGCCGCCGTGGAGTCTCCTCCTCGACCCCATCGCCATTCCCGTCCTGCCTGCTCTGGAGCTGCGGCTCTGCACAGCCTCTCCTTCCCCTGGCCTCAGTTTACCCCCAGCAGTTCCTGTCGGCTTGAAACAGACGCTGTCCAAACGGCTCAGGCATCTGTTGTAACTGGGCGCCACTCCCAGAGCCTCCAAGTTTGTCTACTTGGAGCAAGCGCTGTCCCCAAAGGCCCAGGTGTTTTAGGTCTTGCAGTTGGGTGCCACTCCTTGAGCCTCACTTTCCCTGCTTGGAGAGGACTTAGCCTTCCAAAGAACTAGCATGGACACATGCTTAGGCAAAGCTTTTCCCACCTGAGCTTGTTTCTGGATCACATATGGGGAATCAGGGGACCCTCCCAGGGAAATCAAGTCATGGGTCAGAAAAGCACAGGTCCAGGTTGCTGTCTTGGGCTCACTTGGGAGCCCTACCAGGTCTCAGTCCCTGTCTGTAGACCCCTGGACTACCAGTGTTTGCAGCCTGCATCCCCATAAGCTGCTGGCCCAGACTTGCCCTGGGATGAGGAAGCCTGACTTCAAAACTGGAAGCTCAGAGAAGGCAGAAGTCAGGGTGTGGAAGCGATTTTTCCAGAAGTTAGGCTGCGACCACGAGAGCACCGCTTCCTTTCCTGCCCCCAGCCTGTGACCTAGATTAAGGAAGAAGTGAGATAGTGGCGGCCTAGTGCCTGCTCAGTGGAAAGACACAGGTCTCCTGGGCAGGAAGGCTGTCCTGAAACAGGGCATTCATGACAGGTACCAGTTGGCCCCTGCTTGCTATGTGACACACAGAGTTCAGGAAGCAGGCCCCTGGCTGGGACAGGCATTTCTCTGGAGCACCCCGTCTCTTCTACCCAACCTGGTTCATTTTGTTCTCTCCCTGGCTGTGACTTCAGTTGAAAATCGCTGATTGGCCTGTGTTTTTCCAAGTGTGGACTGCCGTGTTTGAACTGCCATTCCAACACTCTGGTGGCCCTCTCTCCCCTTGAGAGGGATTCAGCAGTCCCCCTTTGCCTTCCCATTCAATGAGTGTTCTCTAGGAAGCCTGTTCAGGGTCCTGAGGACAGGTCACATTCTAGGTTGGGTATCTCAAACAGGCTCTAGCTAGGGACAGAACCCAGGCTGGCCAGAAGTGCATGGTTCTGCCTCAGCCTTCCCAGTGCTAGGATGACTGATTATAAGGGGCAGGTGCCCTTGTCCCCAGGAGGCTCTGTTGTGTTTTCTTCTTTATGTCCTCCCATACCCCCAAAGCTCCTATCTTCATTGGGAATTGATGTAAATTTTTGTCTTTTTAGTATTAATGTATCGTGTGTGTGTGTGTGTATGTGTGTGTATTTGTAGTATGTATGTATTTTGGTTTATCGAGACAGGATTTCTCTGTGTAATAGCCCAAGCTGTTCTGGACTCTCTTTGTAGACCTGGCTGGCCTGTAACTCATGAAGATCCTGCCTCTGCCTCCTTGAATGCTGGGATCAAAGTTGTGTGCCATCATGCCCAGCCCCTACTTTTCTTTTCTTTTCTTTTCTTTTTTTTTTTTTGAGATGGTTTCTCTGTGTCTGAAACAAGCTCTCAATGATTTGACTGCCTCTGCCTCCCTGAGTGCTGGCATTACTGGAGTGCGCCACCAGGACTGGCTGTATATGTATTTTTTAAAGATTACTTTCCAGGGGTTGGGGATTTAGCTCAGTGGTAGAGCGCTTGCCTAGCAAGTGCAAGGCCCTGGGTTCGGTCCTCAGCTCTGGAAAAAAAAAAAAAAAAGATTACTTTCCAGTTGGGCACAGTGACGTATGCCTATAATCCCAGCACTCAGGGAGGCAGAGGCAGGCGGATTTGTGAATTTGAGGCCAGCCTGGTCTACAAAGCAAGTCCAGGGCAGCCAAGGCTACACAGAAAAACTTTGAAAACCAAAATAAATAAATAAAGATTACTTTCTCTTCTGTATGTGTGTGGGTATCTGTGTGTCTGTCTTGTGAGTGAGTGCTGGAAACCAAACTCAGGTCCTGTCTAAGAGCAGCATGCACTCTTAACTGCTGAAGCATCCCTCTGCCTCCATCCTTTAATTCTTAGCTCTAGGACCCTACCTCCCTCCAGCTATGACTTCTGAGTCTACAGGTACTTGCTTGGTAGTGCCCAGTTGCCAAGCCATGCCCTCCAGCCACCTAAGTCAGTTCTGTCTGCCTCTGCCTCCTGCATGTTGTTATTAAATAAAAAAACAGAAAATACCCTCCCCATTCACCTTCCCCCACTCCTTCAGAGTGGCCACTTCCATGAGCCTTGATGAAGCGGGCAGGAGTTAAAGAATGAAAGGGAAACAACTGGCAAGGTACACTGGAGTATTTAGCCCCTGCACTGCCCTTGGGGCGAGTTTCTCTGCTTCTGCTGGGCCTCTCCTGACTTCGTTTAGCTCAGCATCTTTGGAGGCTTTCCTGGGCACCAGCCCCTGTCTATGTGCTGTGGTCAGCCCAGCCTGTTGTTTCTGAAACTCTGGTGTAGCTGTCTCGGTGGGTGTTTGGATGTTCCAAGGGTCAGGTGGAAACATGTCTTCCTCTGGCAATGTCTGTGGAGCCTGGAGTTAGGGATTTCCAGAGGATACTCCTTGCCCATGTTGGTACTGCTCTGTTGCCTGTCTCTTGAAGAGTTTAGGAACTTTCAGAACCCGAAAATGCTACCTGACACTTGTGGCATCCCACTAATGACTGATGATAGCATCCCAGGTGAGACCTCAGACCTTGACCAGTGCTCAGGAGGAGGTGGACTACTCTGCTCATCGGTGCGCAGTGTGCCGGAGGCCACCATTCTGTCTCAGCTAGCGACTGCTTTATTCACTGCCGTAGCCTGGCCTTGCTGGGCTTGCCTGCCTCTGTAGCTTGCTTCTGTCTAGCCATCAACCTGTTTGTTCAGTTAAAGGTCCTGTGTATGCAGCTCTGTCTCAGGGTCAGCAGTTTGTCCAGGTCCTAGGTTTGCTTGTCTTTAGTAAATACTGACCAGGCTCTCACAGGCTGGGAGCTCATGGCTATTCCTGAGGGGGTCAGGCTTGGTTGTCATTTCTTTTAGAGACAGGATCTCACACTGTAGCCCAGGCTCTTGAGCTCACAGAGACAACCTTCTGCTTCTGCTTTTTAAGTACTGGAAAAAAAAGGCATGAACTGGAGCCACAGGAGAGGCCAGCCCTACCATGTCTATTCTGTAGCTCAGGGAGGCTTATATGGCCCCAGCTGGAAGGAGCATATCTTTTTGATAAAATGTCTTTGGGTCTGGAGTGATAGCTCAGCAGTTAACATTTCTTGCCGCTCTTGTTGAAGACCTCAGTTTGGGTCCCAGGTCTTACACAGCCACCTATAACTTTGTTTGTGTTCATGTAGAGATCAAAGGACACCTTGCAGAGTTGGTTCCTAGGATCGTATCTTTTTTTTTTTTTTTTTTGTGGTAGGGTATCACTATGTAGCTCTGACTGGCCTGAAACTTGCTTTGTGAACCAAGCTAGCCTCAAACTCCCAGAGCTCCACCTGCTTCTGAGTGCTGAGGTTAAAAGTGAGTGCCCCCAGGCCTCACTGGAAGGAGCATATCTTAATCTGGCTTGTTTGGGCGCATGGCAGAGGAGGGGCTGGCAGAGGCTGGCCCTGTGTACATAGTGCCAGAAGAGGGTATGAAGCCCGTGGGACTGGGCCTAGAGTCTCTGTGAACTGCCATCGCGTGCTGGAATCAGACCCTGGGCCTGTGAAAGAGCAGCCCTTACCCTTAACTGCTGAGTGTCTTCCAGGCCTGTGCTGCTCTTGAATTGTAATTCTTCTTTCTTTCTTTTTTATTTTGTTTTCTCTTTTTTGTTTGTTTTCTGAGACAAGGTTTCTCTTCATAGTCCTGACTGTCTTACATGGAACTTACCTTGCAAACTAGGCTGGCCTTGAACTCATATCCACCTGCCTCTGTCCATCCTTGTCTCATGCTAACCCCCATCTGTTGGCATTAAATGTGTGCCCAGTCACGCTCAGCTGTTTGCTTTTTTGAGATAGGGTCTCACTGTGTAGCCGTGGCTGTGGAACTCAATATGGCTGGCTTCAAACTTGGAGCTCTGCTTGCTACTACTTCTGGAGTGCTGGTGTTAAGGGCATGTGCCACCACTCCTGGATGAAGTGAATTTGTCTCTCACCAGATTGGGGGAGTTTGAGTCACTGTTTTGAAAAATATTTTCCCTTGTGTTCTCTGTTCCTCTGGGGTTCAGTCTGCACAGCCTCAGTTCCTGCCTCAGCTCCCGGGTCCAGGCTGCAAAAATTCACTTGGTGAATTACATTACATCAGAGCTCTCACAGCCCTGTGTGTGCAGGAGCTTCACGTGTATGCTGTGTGTGTGTGTACGTGCCTGTGCCCTGTGCCTGGTGCAAGCCGAGGTGTCCTGTGGCAATCAGGACAGCAGTCTCTGCTGTTGGCTGATGTATGCAGGCTAGGTCGCGAGCTCACTGCTGTCAGTGCACTGGGACTGCACACGTGCTGCTCTGATCTGAACTCAGGTCCTCAGCACGAGCAGAGCTTTACCCAGTATGCTGTCTTCCAGGCTTCTTCTCTCTTTTTCTTTCCTTTCTTTCTTTTTTTTTTTTTTTTTTTTTTTTGAGACAGGGGAGTCTGTGTAGCCTTGGCTCTCTTGGACTTGCTCTGTAGATCAGGCTGGCCTTGAACACATAGAGATCCCTCTGCCTCTGCCTCCGGAGTACTGGGATTAAAAGAGTGTGCACCATCCCCTGGCTATCTTCTTTTTAAATTTGGATTTTTGAGTCAGGGACTCTTACAGTCCATGCTGTCCTGGAGCTCACCATGTAACTCAGGCTGGCCTTGAATTTGAGGCCATCCTCCTGCCTTAGCCTCCCAGGTGCTGTGATTACGGGTGTGCTCCACCAGGGTAGTGGGATCACTTTAGGCTCTGTTGCAGGCAACAGTGGCCTTCCGTCCTGGAAACTAAGGGACTACTGCAGGGGCTGTGAACATCCAGCTTGTGGGGCCTGCTGGAGCACTGCTCTGGATACCTGGGCAGGCAGAACTCTGCCGCTCTGCTTGGAGTTTCCACTTGGTTCCATCTTCACCCCACCACACCTCAGCTGAAGGTCTACTTCTTCCACAGAGCTGGCCTTGAGTTCTTTCTTTCTCTTTTTCATCGTTAACAGTCTGGCTTCTTTAAAGAGGGACAAAGACATTCCTGCCCAGGGTGGTCCTGGGGATCCCTGGGTGGCATTTAGTTACTTGAAGCAGGTTGTGGTGACACTTGTTCAATGAACTCAGTCCAGATCATAAAATATTCAGGAAAGTACTCTGATTTACCAGGTGTGATAACTGATACCTGTCATCCCGTGGGGGACAGGAGTTCAAGGCCAGCCCAATTACATGGCCATCTGGGTTACATGACATCCTGCCTTGAAAAAGATAAACAAGCAAACTTAAAAAACAAAACAAATCTGTGTTTGAGGGGGTGCTGAATAGTTGTGACTCTTCCTTATGACCCCATGCTAGGGACAAGATGTCCTGGGTAGTAATGATCCACAAGGAGCCTACTAGGTCAGCTTCACAGGGACTTGGGATGGAGCGTGATACCCATGCATTCCTGGGGGTTCTGGGGCGTGATGGCTCCTGGAGTGTATCAGCTGGGGTGAGCAGCTTTGGACTGTATTTGAGGAACTGTCACTGTCATGTCACCAAGCCAGGCTCCTCTTTCCTCACTTGGTACATGGAAGCTGATATGACTCTTCCGTGTGGCTGAGGGAGTCAGTTCATACCTGCTATGACCATACCTCAGCACCTCCCCCAGCTCATGCTGTCCTGGGAATTGGCTTGACTCCATTTGTGCTTGTTCTGACTCCATTTGTGGGATATGAGACATTCCCTGGGGCCCACGCCTGCCCTTCTCCATCTGGACTTTGTGCCTTATTTCTCTTGGGTCGACCTGTCTGCCCCAAGAAGTCTTTTGGTAGATTTGCTGAGCTTGCGCTGGGGGGGAGGCCAAGGGTGAATGTCGGGGGGGGTGCTATGCCAAGCAGCCTGTGGGAGGTAGAGGGGCCCCAGTGGGCCCTGTGGCGTGGGTAGATCAGATAGGCAGCAGGCCATACAGTAGTGTCATGAGGCTGGCAACAGCCTAGCTTCAGTGTATTCCCCCTTCTCCCAGTGGAAGGCTGTCACCTAGAGCAGCCACTGTGGCCCCACCCAGCTCCACAGGTCCACTTCCCACCTCTAGAGTCTTCTGTTATGGATATTTCCTGTCACTGGAGAATATGTGCTCAGTGGTTTTTGAGAGACAACCCAAGACAGGGCACTAGCCTGGCATGCACTGACTCTGGTTCAGATCCCCATGCTGCAAAGAGAGGGAAGAGAAAGGAGCCACATCTCCGTCTTCTTGAGCACCTGCTGACAGCAGCAGCCTGACCACACTGATCCTTCCGTCTTTGCACTGCTGTCTCCCAGGCCAAGTACATCTCCCAGTGCATCGATGAGATCAAGCAGGAGCTGAAGCAGGACAACATTGCTGTGAAGGCCAATGCCGTCTGCAAGCTCACCTATGTGAGTGCCTCCCCTGTGGCCCCTCCTGTCTGCTGTATATCATCTGCCCATCAAAGGCTGCTGCTGTGTGCAGCACAGAGTTCATGCAGAGTCCTGTCTGCTGCTTATGTGGCTGGTACAGGTTGGGAATGTGGTGAGGTGCTGGGGAGCCTGGTGGAAAACTCAGGCTCTGAACTTCCTTTTGGCTGCAGGTGTACGAGAATGTGACTGCCCTCTGTCCCCATTCCTCCTCGGATGGGGAGGCGAGGTACTGTGCTGGACTCTCAGTACTGGAGTATGCCACAAGGCTGTCACAGGGTAGTTCACTGTCCATCTTAGAAAACTTGCGCCTTTTAAAACCTTATTTGTTATTTTTGGGACAGGATTTCTCCGTGTAGCCCTGGCTGTCCTGGAAATCACTCTGTAGACCAGGCTGGTCTTGCACTCAGAGATCTGCCTGCCTCTGCCTCCCGAGTGCCGAGACTTATGGCATGTACCACCAATGCCAGTTCTTTTAATTTTTAAAAATTAAAAGATTCTTTTCTTTCTTTCCTTGATGTGTATGCTAGTATGTCATGGTGCTTCTATAAAGGACAACATGCAGGGCTTGATTCTTTCCATTAATTGAGTAGCAGGAGCTCAGGTTGTTGGGCTTGGAAGCTGGTGCCTTTACCTTCTTTATTGTTGAACAGTTTTGGATTGAATTCAGGACCTGGTGCCCTTGAGGCAAGTGCTCAAGTGCTCTCAAGCTCAGGTGGGAGCTCTTTGTAAATTTCATTTTCTTGCTTTTGAGACAAGGTTTCTTTTTTAGCCCTGGCTGTTCTGGAACTAGCTCTGTAGACCAGACTGGCCGCAAACTCACAGAGCTGCCTGCATCTGCCTCCTGAGTGCTGGGATTAAAGGCGTGTGTGTGCCACCAGTGTCCAGCTTTCTAAACTTTTTGACGTAAAGTCTAAATTGCCCAAGTTGGCTTCTTTAAAACTTTATTTATTTTTCTGAGACCTAGTCCCTCTGTGCAGCCCTGACTGTCTTAGAACTCACTCTTCAGACCAGGCTGGCCTCGGACTCACAGATCCTCCTGCCTCTGCCTCCCAAGGACTGGGATTAAAGGCGTGCATTACTATTCCTGGCTGTTTATTAATTTTTAAAAAGGTCTATTTTATATGTGTTGCTGTTTTGCCTGTGTGTATATCTGTACCATGTGTGTGTGTCCCAAGTTGGCTTGAATTTTTAGTCCTCCTAGCTTAGCTTTCCAAGTGCCCGGGTCACACCAAGCAGAACTGTGTGCCATGATGTAGGAGCTCTGTACAGCAGCAGCACCTTCTCAATCGTGCTTGCTCCTTATCTTACTGTTATATGAATTTGTCGCCTTAGACTTCAAATAGTTTGTATTTTGTATTGTTAAATTTTTTTAAGTGCTAGATAGGAAACCCCGTCCCTCACACATGCCAGGCAGGAGTTCTCCTATTGAGCCACACCCAGCACCTCACTGGGAGTTTCTAAACAGGAGCTCCACCCCTGACCATGTCCCCAGTCCCTCACTTGGTGGGGGGGGGGTTTACAAGTGGGGGCGTCACCCTGAGGAGCTCTCACTCTGAACCATCTCTAGCCTTGTTGGAGTCATTTTTTGAAAAGAGGATATAAAGTCCCCAGGGGCTTGTGATGGATGAGTTTATGTGTTGAGACCGAATGCATTTTGTTCTTCCATATGTGCTGTGGATGTTCTGGTTGTGGCTGAAACTGTTGTCCCTGTATCTCTTGAGTACAAGTCACTGTCACCATTCCTCCCTTAACAGTTACAGATGCTTGGGTATGACATCAGCTGGGCTGCCTTTAACATCATTGAAGTCATGAGTGCCTCCAAGTTCACATTCAAGGTGAGCACCTAGGATGCACAGCAGGAGGTGTGCCGGGGGAGGTCCTCCCGCATGGGGTACCCTTGAGGACCTCTAGCCAGTCGTCCTGCTGTGGAAGGGAGACAGCATGCTCTCCCAGGACTTGTCAGTCAGACTTCCTGCCAGTGGGGAAGGCCTGAGAGTGAGAGAGACAAGGTATCAGCAGCTTCTACCTGGAGACAGTGCAGGTGAGTGTCAGCCACCCTCAACTCTGCCCTTGGTGTCGCTCTTCCCAGCTGGCAATCACATGTGCAGCTAGAGACCTGTCTCTGTTGGGTCTGAGCAGAGAGTGTGGCTCAGAGCCAAAGTACTTTCCAGGCTGCATTGGCCCCTGCTGCTTCCCAGCCCTGTAGACAGAAACCAGGACCCTCTCAGTACTGCCCTGAGGGAGCTGGTGTTGCTCCTCCCCCCAAAGCCCACAGTGCTGAGTATGGCAGCGTGCTTTTGTAATTCTTCGCATGAAGGGCTTAGACAGGGTTGCTGTGAGTTCTGGACCAGCCTGGGCACAGAGGGAGACCCTGTCTTTAAACAACAGCAAGAAAGGACACTACCATGGCAAGTCCTACTGAGGCCTCACCCCTGTTCCCTTAAACATCTGCCAAGCCCACACCCAGGATGCCCAGCTCTAATCCCAGCACTGGGGAAGCTGAGACAGGAGAATTGCATATTTCTGGCTATCCTGGGCTACAGAGCATAAAACAAGCACTTCCATGGTTTTACCTGTCCATAGCAAAACCAATTCTTTGAATTGTACCAGTAACACATGGTGGGATTGTTTTGTTTTTGTTTGGGTTTATTGTTTACATTTTGGGCTTTTTTGGTTGTTGTTGTTGTTAGTGGGTTTTTTGTTTGTTTGTTTGTTTGTTTGTTTTTTATGAGACAAGGTTTCTCTGTATAGCCCTGGCTGTCCTGGAATGCACTCTATAGACCAGGCTGCCCTTGAACTCAGAGATCCACCTGCCTCTGCCTCCTGAGTGCCGCCGTGACAGGCTGTGTCACTGTGCACAGCAGTAGCAGTGTTTGATTGGCGCATGCCTGACCCAGCTGGCTTAGCACTGCTGTTCTGAGGACTCTGATACCTGTTTGTGGGGTCATTGACATGGTGGGTCATTTCCAGCCTCTGATAGACACAGTTGGGCACACTGGTCCCTCTGGACACTTTTCTGCTTCCTGTCTTACTCTGTGCATGTGTGGCATATGCTGAATATGCCTAAGCAAGTCCCTGTCAGGGAGGGATTGAGTGGTGTGTCCTCAGAGCCAGGGTGCTGCTGCCTGTGCACAGCAGTGCAGGGAACTGCCTGCACATGCTGGGAGACCATTAGGGAGGGCACCTCAGATCCCCATGTCCCAGTGCCCCGTCCCCTTCAGTAGGAGCTCCTTTGGACATCCAGGTGCCCTACTGCTGCCACCCTCAGTGTCTCCAGGTGTTTGGTGGGTGTTCCTGAGGGGGCTGGAGTGTCCCCCAGGGCTCCAGTCCTCTGGCTCTGACACCGTGGCTGTTGACTCTGCAGCGTGTCGGCTACCTTGCAGCCTCCCAGTGCTTCCACGAAGGTACTGACGTCATCATGCTGACCACCAACCAGATCCGAAAGGTAGGCCCTGCCGCTTTCCTGCCACTCAAGTGAGCCACAGACATCAGCTGGGGGTCCCCATCAGTGCTGCACTCCCACCTGCCTGGGGTGTCTGCTCAAGACTGTGCCGCTGCTCGTGCCACCTGTGTCTCAGCAGGTGGGAGGGCGGTCTCAGCCAGCGGCAGCGCTTAGGCTCAAGAGGGCTTGGGGCTGGAGCTCTGTACATGCCCCCTCCTGACCTCCCTGCTTAGTTCTGCAGAGTAGCTATAGCCTCTCTCTCCACACTGGGTACCTGACCAGGCTGCTGATTCCCAGTGCCTGTCAGTGTCTTATCTCTGGATGGTCTGTAAGTGAGTGAGTGAGTCAGTCAGTCAGTCAGTCCTCCTTGACCATGCCCCGTCCCTTCCTGCCTGCCTTGTGCTGCAGACCTCAGAGTGCTGGCTGCCTTCTCTGTGCTGCCAGCTCCTTTATAATTCCTGTTGTAGGGCATAGCCCTCTGTTAACAAACGCTGGAGCAAGGGCTGGACCCTGCAGTGTGAGCTGGGGGCTGGGGTTCCAGGAGTATGTTCCGCCAGCTGTCAGGTGGAAGAGGAATGAGTAGATGGGAGCTACAGTGGCATAGCTAGGCTTATGGCTAATGAGGACAGAGCCTGGCTGAGGCGAGGGTGAGGCAGGAGGTGTAGAGGCTAATGGTGTCATGGCTGTAAGCAGTGGGCAGTTGTCTGGATTATGGGGTCAGGCAGTTGGCCTGGGTGCTCGAGAGCTTCTTGGAGCAGACACTATGCTGTCCAGACCTTTTGAGAAGAGCAAGGGTCTGAGTGATTAGGGCCTTCTGGGAGCAGTAGGGGCCTAGGTGGGTGGAGCCTCCTAAAGTAAGGGTCCTGATGGGTGGACCATGTGGGAAGAAGACAGACTTGAATGTCCAGGCTTTGGGAAGGAACTGGACATGTGAGCTGTAGGTGGAAGGGGTGTGGGCTGCAGAGGTGAGCAGGGTTGGGTCAGGGCTGAGGCTGGCTCTGGGATCAGCATCTTGCTGTCTGCATGCTGTAGTGCAAGGCTGTAGGTTAGGCTGTGTGTTGCTCTCTAAGGCACGTAGGAGATCAGCTCCATCAGAGAAGGTTGGGAAGATACTGCTGCCCTCAGCACTTGCTGATGTCCTGGCTGGGACCTGGTGTCTGTGTAGCTGAGGCCTGCGTGCTAGCTCAGCACAGGCCCATATCCCAGGCCTCTGCAGCCTCTGTGCAGCTTGCAACAGCCTGGGACCTAGGGAGAGGGCTCTCTCAAGGCCAAGCTCCAGGACATTCTGTCATCTCTGTGTGTCTTCCTGATGCTCTTCCTATTTGGAGGGCAGTGTTCTCGTTGCGATCACTGCTTTCTTCTCTGTCCCTTTGGGAGGTGTCACTGCAAACTCTGGCCACGAGGGCAAAGGCCAATGATAGCTTGTGATGCAGTTTGAGCCCACTGCATAATAAAGGCCCTAAAGCTCACAGCGTTCTGTTCATTACCCTGAGGCTGGAACTCCAAGCACGCCCCACGTGGCTGAGGATCCTTTGAAAGTGGATGTGGTGCCCACAGGGTGTGTGCTCGAGTGATAGGTGCACTGTCTTAGAGCAGGGGGAGTCAGGGCGCTGGGAGGAAGTTGAGGGAGGTGGGGTAGCTGCTAGAGTCAGTCTTCAGCCTCAGGCCCCTACTCACCAGAAGGATGAACACTGGCCCAGAGTGTCTCAGCTCAGGAACGGCCAGAGGACTGTCCCTGGTATCATGGGGGAGTCACTGAGTAGAAACATGCCCCTATAGCATTGCCAGGAGCGGGTAGTCCTTGCCTAGGAGTTGTGACTTGCAAGGTAGCTTCTGTCCCCAAGGAGCCCAGAGGCCTGGTGGCTTCCATGCAGAGCTTTCTGGTCTTCTTCCTCCAACCTGTGTTCCAGTTCCTCTCCATGACAGTAGAGGAGCTGTGAAATACTGCGTCATTCTGGGCTGCAGGACAGCTGGGATACAGACATACAGATAAGACCTAAAGGACTGCCACTGCTATCCCCTTGCAGGACCTGAGCAGCCCCAGCCAGTACGACACTGGAGTGGCACTGACTGGTCTGTCCTGTTTTGTCACCCCAGATCTTGCCAGAGACCTGGCAAATGACATCATGACCCTGGTGAGTTTCTGTGTGCCTACACCACCCTTCCCCTTCATCTAGCAATGCCCAGAACCCAGTGTTGAGCCCTTGCTCTGAGACAGAGAGAGGCCCTCAGAGTGCTGCTGTATGGCTGGGGTGAATACGACCGAGCAGAAGTCAGCTTTGCTTTCTTCTGTGTTTGCCCCCTGGATTCTGTCTGGTGGTCTCAAAGTTCATCAGTACTACGGGGGGGGGGGGGGGGGTCAGAGCCCACTGTCCTCATCCAGATACAACAGGTACCTGTTATAAACAGAGTTCCACCGGAACCCGCCATGTCCACGCACCCTTTCCTGTGGTGGCTGTAGCTGTTGTGACAGATTGCCTGGCCCACTGGGTAGATGTATGCTGGTGGGGCTTTCCAGATAGTTGCCAGCCCTGTGGAGTAGAGAGTGTGGTGGGTCTGCATGGAGCCCCCGCTGGAGCCTGGTGGCCTAAGAGTTACCCCCTGCCAATGCCAGCACAGAGACTGTCCTGGAGGAGGCTTGAGTGAGGGCAGCCTGGAACAGGGCCACACATTATATATAACCAGATCACCTCTCTGATGCAGGCGGAGGCACGCCTAGGCTGCTGTCGGCGAGGCCTGATTGTGGGCAGATGGGGGGCAAAGGCCTTCTCTAGGTGGGTTGGAGGGAGTGAAGAGATGTGAAGGAGTCAGGGGCGCTGGGCAGGTGAGTCACTAGCCACCTGCTGTCCCTGCAGATGTCTCACACGAAACCCTACATCAGGAAGAAGGCAGTGCTGATCATGTACAAGGTGTTCCTCAAGTACCCCGAGTCACTGCGGCCTGCCTTCCCCCGGCTCAAGGAGAAGCTGGAGGACCCAGACCCAGGTTAGTGATGGGAAGCTCTGCCCAACCACCTGGGTGGATGAGAGGGTGGGGAATGGTGAGGATGTGGGTATGGGTACAGGCTGCAAATCCCCTTGGATCTGCACTGGTGATGGCTGCAGCCACAAGCTACAGGACATGCAGTGATTTGAGACTCCCCATGGCTCAGGTCCCTCCTGGCCTGAGTGGACAGTCAGGTCCAGTGCAGCCAGCTTTGCTATGAGGTCAGTAGGGTGCAGGGCTCCCCTGGGAGCTATGACTCACTGGCAAGTGAGTCAGTCTTGCTATTTTCCACCTCTGCAGAGTTGACTGAGCAGGGTAGGGTGCTGTAGACCTTACATCCAGCGCAGGAGCCTTGAGGGACTGCGGAGTATGTGGAGGCTTTAAATGTCACTTGATTAAAGTTGTGGTCATTTAGAATTAGAGCACAGGAGCACCTTCCACTGTGAGACACACAGGTAGAGTAACAGCTGTGTCCCCCGAGGCTTGTGCTGGCTGTTGCCCTGTAAGCAGTGTCCTGAGACAAGTTGCTGTAGCACATCTGCATGCACATCTGCATGGTCTGTGGTCGAAGCCCCCCACCCCTGGGAAGAGATGAGGCTGGAAAGTGAGTGAGGACCCAAGTCCTGGCCTGAAAAACCGTAATACACCCAGGCCTTCTGGAGGAACATACTTTGCAGTGGAGCAGGCCTGTGGCCTCAGGACCATATGTTACCGCAGCCACACAGCCCGGCGTAGGTCCTTGGAGGCAAAGTCTCCCTTCAGTTCCTCGAGACTAGAGTACAAGGGACCCACCTGGCATTTTATTCTCGGGGCAGGTGAGTGTTTGTGCAGGTGCTGGGTGTGGTTAAAGCATGAAGCTCAGCCTCGAAGCCTCATGTTTGCCCCACACACAGGCTGCTGCCTTCCAGTCAGAGCCAGGTCCCTTCTTTCGGGCCTCTGGAGGAAGAGATAAGGCTCAGAGCAGCATACAGCTCATGAGTGATCACGCTCCCTCGGTGGGCCAGGTGCTCAGCTCAGTTCAGCTGTTTGCAGCTCAGAAAGTAAAAAGGACTCCAGCCATCCTGTGGCTCGCAGGTTCCCTCCCTCAGGTATTCAGCGAATAAGGCAGGAGAATTGTAAGGCTAGCCTGGGCTGAGACCTTTTCCCAAGGTAAAAGGCAGAGGCTGTGGCTTAGGTCAAAAATGCTAACCTAGCACATAGTAAAGCCTGGATCTCTTCCCCAGCACTGTGTAGAGCAGCGTGGTAGCACATGCCTGGCAGTGAGTCAGGGGTTCAGGGCCAGCCTGGCTCTATGGAACCCTGCCTCAGAAAAAGTAAGCAGTGGCTGGTGCTGGGCATGGCAGGGGGTGGCAGCACCCCCTGTCGGGGAGGGGCTCTGCAGCACCTCGCACAGCTGTTGAGCTATTGGGAAGTGCTCTTTCCATCTCGGGACAGCTCTTCCTGGGGCTTCACTCGATAGGACAGATGGGACAACTAATAATCATTGGCCTCTTGATTCTCCCTCTGTCTAGCCCTTCTGTGCCTTGGGTGGTCTTTTTGGTGCTGTCCTGGGCCAGAGGCATAGAGAGCAGTGCTGTCACCCTGGAAGCCTTGGATTCCTTGGGCTGGAGGCTGAGGTGTCCCTTGGTCTGCACATTGGTGTCATTTTGTGCTTCTTTGAGTGTGTGTGAGTGTGCTAAAGCAGGGTGTTGTCTAGCCTGGGGCTGTGTGAACCTTTTCTTGGGAGAGAACAACTGTGGTCCATGTGCTGTCCTCTCCCAGGCAGGGCAGCAGTGACAGAACAAGGAAACAGTCCGCTCGGCTCTGCCGTAAGAGGCAGGGAGCTCAGTGGAGTTGCCCACGAGGGCATGGGCCACCTGTAGATGCCTTCACCACTGAGGAGTCTCCTCCACATCAACACCCAATCCCAAGAAAGCAGAGGTGGGCCACAGCTGAGAGATGGCTCAGTGGTGACAGCACTGCCTGCTCCCTCGGAGGACCCAGGTTTAGTTCCAGGCACAGCCATCTGTAGCCCCAGCTCCAGGGGACCTGATGCGCTCTTCTGGTCTGCAGGCTCTGTGCACACACGGTGCACACACATACATGCCAACAAACACTCATAAAATCTCTTTTTACCTAAAGGGGCAGCGTGTACACACATCATGTCTGTCCTAAGCAGGAGCAGTGTGTCCTCATCTCCCCTCTGCTCAGAGGAGCCCGGGAAACATTGACTGGGCCACATGCCTGGGGCTCTAGCTGTCTCTGCATGGTGACAATCACCTGTGTGTCCTTAGACTTCCACAGTGAACCCTGTACCCCGTGTTCTTGTTGTCCGGGGAATCCCCTTGTAGATGGGGAAGCCTCCTTTTCTGTGATGGGGATGTTCTGCTCTGTGGGCATGATTGTTATTGGTGGGCGGTCCCTGTGAACAGGGTGTCCTTGTTGACGGAGACTCCACCTGGGTAGCAGAATGTTCCATTCATTCCATTCATATGGACCCTTCTCTTGGTCTTTAGGGGTGCAGTCTGCGGCCGTTAATGTCATCTGCGAGCTGGCTCGCCGCAACCCTAAGAACTACCTGTCCCTGGCCCCACTGTTTTTCAAGCTCATGACATCCTCCACCAACAACTGGGTCCTCATCAAGATCATCAAGCTGGTAAGTGCTGAAGGGCCAGGTGTATGCTGGGCCTGGGTCCATGGTCTACGGATATCTTGGTGACCATAGCATCCCTGTCCCTGTAGTTCGGTGCCCTGACTCCCCTGGAGCCCAGGCTGGGCAAGAAGCTGATCGAGCCTCTCACCAACCTCATTCACAGGTACCTACTCCTCGGCTGCCGTCCCTGGCAGGGACATTGGTGCCACTCTGACATCGACCCTCTCCACCTCGCCCTCCCTGTCCCACTGAGACCAGCCTGTTTAGTCTATGTGATTTTTGTTTGATTGTTTGATTGATTTTGAGGCACATTTTACTCTAGCCCAGTCTTGCCCTGAATTTGTGCTAATCTGCCGCCTTATCCTCCTGGGTGCTGGGTTTATAAGTGTCACCACTACCCACTATACTCAGTTCAGTCATCTACCCCTGTCCTCAGACACCAAGCAGTGCATTCATATTGCTCTTTACCCTCCTGGGCCCCCAGTGCTGTCTTGTCCCTCTGGACTCATCCTCTGGAAGGAGGGCGCAGGAGGGCCTGCCAGGCCTTCGAGGCACACAGGGGTGAGGTTGGGGTGGGAGGAGTCAGTGTAGGCTGCGTTCCCTGTCCACAGGAAGGAGCTTCAGTAATCATCATGGTGTCACTGGGCTTTAGAGGGTTGTCAATGGTACTGTTTCCATGGAGCTCAGCAGAGTGACCTTGTTTGTGTGTGACACTCCTTGGGCTAGGTCCTCACACCTTCCTCCCTTTCAGCACCTCTGCCATGTCCCTGCTGTACGAGTGTGTGAATACCGTGATTGCAGGTGAGTGCCCTGGTATAGCCCTGATAGGAGGGCACAACGAGGGGGCGGGGCTCAGTCCCCCTCTTAGGCTGCCACCAAGCTGAGAGAGGGTGCAGGTGCTCCTGCTGAGAGGACCAAGAGTCCTGAGCTGTCTAGGACCCAGAGCGTCCCTAGATGAGGCAGCTGCCCCGCCTGAGTCTTCTTTTCTATCTCTGCACGGCTCACCTCCCTTCTCAGGCCCCTTTGCAACTTTGAGAGGTCAGCCCCAACTTGTGGTCGGAGCCCAGGACCAGCACATGTCCACCTGGCAGGCAGCATCCATTTTCCAGGCCCCTGCAGCAGGACTGAGCTGAGGTGGTCCTTTCACCCACAGATCACTTAGGAGTAGTGTTGGGAGCCGCTAGGGTGCCGTCCTTTACAGGCATAGGGAGTTGAGCACGATGTACAGCAGCCACAACAAAGGTCATGGCTGGGCCGTGGAACCCTAACACTGCGGTATCAGATGGGCAGGTCCCTGGAGCTTTCTGGCTGCCACTTTAGTGAGCTCCAGGGTCATCTGGAGACCCTGGCTCAAAAAAGCCAGGTGGGGAGGATTGCAGAGGATGCCTGCTGGTCACCTTTGTCTTCATATGCACACATGCACACAACACACCCAAGTAGAGGCTTAGGATTTGGGCCAGCACTCTTGGGCTTGTAATTAACCATGGCCTTCCTCCCTACTGTCCTGCCTGGGTGGAGGGAGCAGGAGGAGGGAAGGTAGCTTGAGGTGAGGTCTGAAGGCCTCAGTGATCACAGGGGAGTCCCCAAGTCAAATGGCTACCCTTGCAGCTGTACCCAGCGACAGGACCCAAGTCTCAGCCGTAGGAAGAGCAGGTGGGGCTTCTGGAACCCTCTGTGGGAGCCAGCTCATGCTGTGTCCTCAGCTGCAGGACACAGCTGTGAGGGGTGGAGTGTTGTCACCTGAGGGCTACCTGAAACCATCAGCACTCGGGTTTTGCGGGGTCTTGGGCCAGCTCTGCCCAGCACAGGTCTGCCACCCCAGAACCCAGAGAGGAACAAGGGTTATGCATGAGCCTGTCTTAGGTACTGGTGCTTTAGGCCCAAGAGCTTGTGAGGAAGGGTGGGAGACCCAGGCCAGATCCCTGGTTTCCCAAGGCCCAACCTGTCCATCTGCCTTCTGAACACGCAGCCTCCTCAAGCCTCCTGGAGCCAGGCAGCCAGGTCCCTGCTGGTGGGGATGGGTCAGTAGGGTGTCAGTGTCTGGCCCATGGGCACTAACCTCCACCCCCATGTGTCCCAGTGCTCATCTCGCTGTCTTCTGGAATGCCCAACCACAGCGCCAGCATCCAGGTACCTCTCCGGGAAGGCGGGGCCTGTGCAGATCAGGGGGACTGAATCTTGGGTGGTGGCCAGGCCCAAGGACTCCTCAGCCAGTCTAGAAAAAATTTGTGGTGTTCACCTCCAAATTCATTTTTCTCAAACAGCTCGAGTGTGCAGGAAGTCCGCTTATGGGCACCTTCTTTCTTTATTGAACCTGTGAGACCTGCCCTGAGGGGACCGAATCAGCCTGCCTGGGCAGCTGCTGTGTACACTGGATACCCCAGTGATCACTCCCTCACTCCCACTTGTCCTCACTGGCACCTGCAGATCCACTTTGTCATGCTGAGCAGGCCCCCAGTGAGAAGGCCACAGTCACCTCCCCTCCTGTCCCGAAATGCATGCCCTTGGTCAGGGCTGGTGTCGGGCTGCAGGGCGTGGTGGTGGGGTGGAGAACGGCGCCGGCCCTGCCTGGGGGGATGTGACCAAGCATGGCTTTCCTCTCCTCTCAGCTGTGCGTCCAGAAGCTGAGGATACTCATAGAGGACTCGGACCAGAACTGTAAGTCGCTGCCATCTCCCTGCCTCCACACCTAAATGCTGTGCTGGATTCAGAGACCCCACACCTGTCTACCAGATGTCTGTGGGCCCAGGGCAGGAGGGCTTTGTGGGCTGAGAGGAAGCACTCACCATAGGGAAGGGCTGAGTGGTGGTTGCAGTGTAGGCACCCTGAAAGGTGGGGCTGAACTGAGTGTAGTGTGGGAACGGCAAACAGGAAGACGATCAAGGCTGGGCTCACTAGTGTCAGGATCCAGACCTACCTATGCCTCAGGAACCAGGTGTGGCACAGGCTTCAAGATCATGCTTGGCTACTTAATGACTTCAAGTCTAGCCTGGGCTACATGAACCTTGTCTCAGAAATAAATATTGTGAGGGCTGCACTGAAGCCACAGCTGCATCTATCTTAGCAAGCAGGAGGCTGCAGTAAGAGAGTTGGGAGTTCACGGTTAACCTGGTTCCACAGCAGGACCCATCTTAAAAAAGGGGGGCTGGTGAGATGACTCAGTGGATGAAGGTGCTTGCCACCAAGCCTGATGCCCTGACTTGGTCCCTGGGCCCACATGGTGGGAAGAGATGATTCCTATAGTGCTCTGCTGACCTTGATGAACATACCCCATGTACAAAGAAATGGTTTGTTTTGTGTGTGTGTTTTGTTTGTTTGATTTTGGTTTTTCAAGACAGGGTTTCTCTGTGTAGCCCTGGCTGTCCTGAAACTCACTCTGTAGACCAGGCTGGCCTTGAACTCACACAGATCTGCCTTCTGTGTGCTGGGATGCCAACTAATGTAATGTCTTTAATTTGAAGGGGAAAGGAGGCCTGGTGTGGGGGAGCACGCCTGTCACTCAGCACTTGGGAGGTGGTGGAGATCAAAGTCCCTCCAGCAGTCTGCCTAGCATCCGCCTGGGCCTCAGAGGGGTGTGTGCGGCCCATTGCCGTCTTCCCTGTGTCCCCACAGTGTTCTCTGGCTAAACCTGCTCCAAAATGGGGTCCATGTCTGTCCCATCTCCTGGCTCCTCAGACCAGGGCTCAGCCCCAGTGTCTACCATGGTCCCGGTATTTACCTTAGAGCCAGGGTCTAAAGACAGACTTCCTCAGCCAGGTGTGGCAGTGCACACCTTTAATCCCAGCACTTGGGAGGCAGAGGCAGGTGGATCTCTGAGTTTGAGGCCAGCCTGGTCTACAAAGCAAGTCTAGGGCAGCCAGGACGGGGCTACGCAGAGAAACCTTGTCTCAGAAGACCAAAAACAAACAAACAAACAAACAAACAAAAGACAGACTTCCTCATGGGGCCCAGGGACCACACATTCCCCACCTTGGATGTGTCTGCAGTTCTCGTGTTTGTGCTGTTGGAATGTATCTCTGAGTAATCTGTTGATGGTGGCCAGCTCCAGACTTGTCACCAAGTGAGGCTTCAGGCTTCTGGGTGCACACTTGTCATCTGTGGCTCCTGCTTCGCCCCCTCCCTTCAGTTTTTTTTTTTTGTCATTGTTTTCTTTTTGAGGCAAGGTTTCTCTCTGTAGCCTTGTCTGTCCTGGAACTCATTTTGTAGAACTCAAACTCTGCCTCCCGAGCGCCGGGATTAAAGGTGGGAGTCACCACAAAATATTTTTTTAAACAGGGAAAACAGGGAGATGGTTTGGTGGGAAAAGGCAGTTGCTGCACAGGCCCAGGAACCTGAGCTGGAGTTCTCGTGAGTGGAGGCAGAAAGCTGGTCCAGCCTGCAAGTTCAGTGAGAGGCCATCTCCAGGAAGTAAGATGGAGTGGATGGTGCAGGGCCGCACTGTCCTCTGGCTCTGCACTCACACCCCCACACACAAAAAGGTGGGTGGCGGCACCCATGGCTGGAGGTCGGGGGACTGCTCAAGGGCACCACGGGCACACAACACACGGATGTTTTGAGACTCTTTATTGGGTCATTGTGACACCGATCGTCAGCAGCGTGATATATCTCTCTTCACATGGGAATGTCGACAGCAAATCAATCATGGAACATCATAGAGCTGGAGGGTCATGTGGGGTCGGTCACAGAGTACTACATGCTAAAGTGACAGTCATCCTCGAAGGAACAGCCAGAATGTCTGTAGACACTGTCACCTCTGAGGAAGGCTCAGCTTGTGCCCAGCTAACCAGCTGTAGGGAGTCTCCAGGTTGGGGTCCTTTGACTCTGCCTAGAAACGTCTGGGGGAGCACGAGCACTCCCAGGATGCACCCCTCCACAGCTAGGCAAGTGCAGGGACACACCCATGATGTGTAGGGACAAACTGAGGGGCATCGGTTGCCCTTCTCCACTGACCCCCAGGACAGACCAGAACTCTGTTGAACAGAAGAAACCAAAGGGCCACCCCTGCTGTCAGCAGCTGAGCTGCAGGCCACCCACTTTGTCCGTATCTGGCCACGCAGGCTCTGGGGAGAAGCAGAACAGCTCGCCTAGTCACTTCTCCACAGGCGCCACCAACTGGGCCATTTGGGAACAGCAGCAGTTGGAAGGGCTCCTCCAGAGGCAGCATGGGGACAGAAGAGCGAGGTCATGACAGCCTCACTGTTTGCTCTAAGTCTGGAAGCCCACAAGCCTGGAGTCCCCACAGCCACCGTCAGGAATGGGGAGCGGAACTGAGAGCCCCTTGCTGGCTAGGGTTGGGGTGGCCTTCCTTGCCAAAGGAGTGTAGGTTGGAATAAAAAAAGGATAATAAAATAAATTGATGCAACATTAGGACCTCAGGGTCACACAGTGGAGGCCGGTGGCATTAAATTAATGCTGGGTGTGGGGACAGTGCACAAAGGAGGGGCAAGACCCATCACACTGTGGTCTGTTGGGCGTGCGGGGCTCCACCATTCAGCACTGGGCCAGCGTGGTCTTCATTTCCTCCAGCAGGCTGCTGAGCAGTGTGGCATCACTGCACTTCCCGTCCACGGACACAGAGCTCTCACCCTAGGGCACAGCCACATGTACATACCATGCTTGTGGTGGGGCGGGGCACACAGGGCTGCAAATGCCACTCCTCCTACCCAGCTGACCTGAACCTCATTTTACTGTCTGAAGCTAGGTAGCCTGAAGGCCTGCAGCAAAGTAAGCCCTGCCTCAGTCTGCAGAGTGCTGGGATGCCAGGTGTGCAGCGCACAGCCCACTAGGCTCTCAGACAGCACTGAGGTCACCCTTCCTTCCTCTTGCCTTGTGTCCCAAACACAGCAGCGTCTGGAGGGCCTGGTGCAACTGTGGGAGGCCTGGTCTAACTGGGGAGACAGCTGCACTCTTGGGATGGGAACCTTGGGGAAGGGCCGTGGGCGGGGAGCTCACCTTCTTCACCAGCAGGCAGACATGGTGGCCCTGGATGGAGCGGCTGTACATGGAGGCACAGGAGTCTACTCGCTCCACAACTGCAACAGACAGGGGAGTCAGGCCTGTGCTCCCTGGCAGGGCCCTCTCCAGGAACTGGGGCTCATGCTGAGATGGAGCTGTAGGCTAAGGCCAGTGCAGGAAGGAACAGGCTGGGAGGGAGAGTGGCTTCCGTGATTTCTGGGATGAAATCATCAAGAGTGGTACCATTGCTTACCGGAAAAATGGTGGTAGAAACAGATCTTTGCTAGAAGGTTCTGGAAAGACATACTAATGCCATCGACTTTGATAGAGTTCATGCTCAGGTCTCCTGATTCCAGCAACTTGGCGAAGGCATCACTACAGGAGGACAGAACCGAGGGTGGGGTCAGGCCTGCCACCTAGCACTAGAAATGTTGGAGCAGGACTGCTTCAAATTCCAAGGCAGCCTGGGCCACAGGAAACAGACAGGCACACAGGGCAGCCCTCTGGAGACGGAGACAGAAGCAACCACCTGTAATGCCACCTGGCCGAGGAAGAGGTGGCCTCAGGCTTCAGCAGCACCAGGGACAGGGCAGCCGTGTCTGGAGCTGGAGAGGGTGTGCATAGCACTTGTGATGATGGCCTGAGCAGACTTATGTTACCTGCGCCTCACAGCCTACATCACCACGGTCCGGCCTGCTACCCACCCACCCCACCCCCGATGAAAGGGCCTGTGGTGGGGCAGAGGCGCACACCTGTAGCAGGGTGTGGTGATCAGATAGGAGCTACAGCTAAAGTGCAGCCGGAAGTCCAACTTCTCGTGGGTGGCTCCTTCATCATCCTGTGAGGAACAAAGCTGTGGGGTGAGCTTCCCAGGCAGTCACTCTTACAGGTGAGGCCTGGCGTCCCCTGGGGCAGGCAGGACGTTGGAGGCCAGCATACCTTGGCGATGAAGGACAGTGTGCCTTTGAGCTTCTGGGCCATGACAATACTCTGAATGGTGAACACAAACTGGGCCTCGTTGGAGACGCCTGATGAAAGACATGGCAGTCAGTGACCCAGCACCGACTCTGGGGGGTCAGAGCTCACCCAGTGGGCCAGGGTCTGGGCCACCACTGACTCTGGGGTGTCACAGCTGGCTGGGATGCTAGAGTGACAGAAACAATGGGCACTGCTGCAGGTCCAGACCCCAGCACAACTGTCCCCGGTAAAAGCCAGCATGTGTGGCTTCACCATGCCCTAAAAATAACAGCAGGATATGGGACATCGAAAGCTTTTGGCCTGTGGCTTCGGCTGTCCCTGGGAACTCTAGTTAAGTCTATTGTGTAGGAGACGAAGTGACATGGGGTGGTGGTGGGGAGGGGGAGCAGAGCTGGCTAGCATGGCAAATGCTAGGGCTGATGGGTGGGCTTACCAGGGGGCAGCTGGAAAGGCACGGGCACACCGTCATGCACTGACGAGCCCTCTGGCCGGGCCATTTTGGTGTTGAGTGAGTCCAGGACGTTGAGCTCCATGTTCTTCAGGAAGCTGTTGCTCTGGTTCTCCAGGATGACAGACACAGTCACTTGGCTGTCCTTCTGTAGGCTGGCTTGGATGTCATATGTCTACATGAGCAAGGGCAGGGTCAAGAACCAGAGACCAGATGAGGGGAATGAGCTCATGACCAACATCAAGGACAGTGGCTTCTGTGAATGCTGCCTGTGGTCCTCAGAACCTTGCCCTTCACCACATGCTCTTCATGAAACTACGCCCCAGCCCTTGTCTTTCTGCCTCCTTGACACTGTCTTATACTGCAGTCCTGGTTGGTCTTGAGCTTGCAATCCTCCTGCCTCTGCCCCAAGGTGTGTGCTGCACAGACAGTCTCCTTCTCTCGCTGGGAAAGCTGTCCTCACATGGCCTGGCCACACTGGGCTCTCCGGCTCTGGCTGGGTTCCAAGTAGCCTACACTGGTGTCTGAGCTTGGTGCCTGGCTCTGCTGCCAGCTCTGCAATGCTTCTCGTGATGGTTTGCTCGACAGCAACTGCCCCACCCTGCAGCAACCCAGGGTCACTTACCACTTTAATGTAGGGATTCTCCGCCAGAAGGCAGTAGCTGGACATGGGCTGAGGGAGGAGAGACACTGTCGTCAGTCAGCTCTGGGTAACAGGGACTGGGCTATAAACCCGTGCTTGGAGCAAGAGCACCAGATGATGCTGGGTCCTTGGTCCCTCACCAAGCATGGGTCCACCACAGAGCACAGAGGCCCAGGGTCCTCTCTGAACAGAACCTGGGTGGCAGCATGCTCACCGGGATGGGCTCCTCTTCTTCTGCTGCACCGTTCTCCAGTGGCTCGGCCTGCTTCCTCTTGGATTTCTTCTTGTCTCGTGGCTTCTCCTCTTTCTCCTTCCTGTGTTTCTTCTTCTTGTGCCGGGACGATTTCTGAAGCAAAGTCTGGGCTCAGGCCCCATGTGTCCCGCAAAAGGTACCCTGTCATCATTCTCTCCCACCACACCACATGGTGGGGACCACAGAGAAGGGGAGCAGGTGGGGCAGCAAAGCCAGGAATCCCACAGGCCACCATGGTTGGAGGGCCTGGCAGACACTAGAACCTTAGGGTGACAGCTCAGTGGCAGGAGCTTCTGAGAGGGAAGCACACATCAGTGAGATTCACTGCATGGAGCAAAAGCCTCCTGATCACACCTCGGAAGAAGGAACGCTCAGGGAGGTGTGCTACATTCTCATCAGGCAGGGGCAAATGGCCCAGAATCTATGGCTAGCACACACTGAAGCATCACAGCTTCAGGAGCAAGGCTTCAGCGCAGCCTCAAGAACGTGGGGCATGGGCTGGGTTGATGGCTTTGTGATGAAGAGTGCTTGAAGCTCAGTCACGACCTCAGATCCCAGAAGCCATGGAGTAACACTCACACACACAGCTAAAGTCATCTTTTTAAGAAGAAAAGAGAATCAGAGATGTTCTCAATGAGAGCCAGACATCGGAGGCCACTTAGTGTGGGCTCCATGACAGGCAATGTCCAGGACAGCAGCACCCAGAGACAGCCAGTGGATGCAAGGGTGATGGGAGTTCAGGGGGGACGCGGTAGACTGCTCAGGAGGTGAGGCTTCCTACTGGGGTGACGGAAGTTTCCGAATGAAATGTGCTGTGGAGCACAGCTTGCAAGCTGCACTGGAAACACCAGATCCCTTCCAGAGGCCAAAGCACCAGGAGCGGCCACTTCCTGAGGAAGCCACTACTGAGACCCCTGTTTTCAAGCCTATGTCCTGGGGTTCGGGCCTGGGCCTGGCAGGGCTCCCCTGCCATAGCCATGGGTGGCTTATCTCACATGCCTCACCCTTTCCTCGTCTTGATCCACGTGCTCCTCCACGTCCTCTGGCTCATCCCTTCTGAGTACCTCACACGCATCCTTTGTGGGGGCAACAGTGCTCACAGCAAGTTCTTCCTGCAGAGCAGGAAGGTCAGGGGAATTCTGGTGGAGTGACATCCCCTGATTGCTCAGGGCGTGCCAGCTTGAGAAGCAATGAGGGAACTAACTAGTGCTGTCCCCACTTGAGGGCTTCGGACATCCGAGGATGCCTTGTGGACAAAGGCCCTGCTGGCCACCGAGTCCTGCCAATCAGAGTTCCACAGGACCACAGACCCAGGCCAGGAGTACAAAAGGCCAGGAGGGGAGCATGGGTATAGGGCCTGACCCAGGGCATCCCATAGGGCTGGCCTCCACGGGTAAGGCCTGCTACTCCTGGGCTCCTACGGGAGTGCACAGGTGAAACTGAGGACAGGTGGGGCAGGCACTTACCGTGGATGGGGCAGGAACGGGGACAGAGGCAGGTGGTGGGGTGGTGGACAGCCAGAAGTCTAAGTCCTCGCCCTGAAGCCACAGGAAGAATATTTTCAGCAAAGGCAGGGAGTGCCAGGGGCAAGAGCTAGTCTCTAGCCAGCCACCAGCCATGAGGAAGACAGTGACATCACAGCAAAGCAGCAGGGCTGAGCAGGTGGAGTTTGTGTGTGTTTTGAGACAAGGTCTCACGCTGTAACCCAGGCTGACCTAGAAGCCAGGGCAATCCTGAGTGCTGGGCTCAGCCCTGTCTGTGGGCTGGGCTCGGGGTTGCAGCCTGGGCAGCAGCAGATCAACAGGCTGTCTCCAAAACATCACTACACTGATGCCTCAGGGGCTTTGGTGGGATCCTGGGCCTGATTCCAGTGCTCAGCAAATAAAATATATTTTAGCCAGTTATCTCAGCCACTCAGGAGGCCAAGGCAGGAGGATTCCAGGCTAGCTCAGAGAACTCAGTGAGATCTAGTATCAAAATGCAATGTATAAGTGACCTGGGAGCTGGACGTGGCAGCACACGCCCTTCATTCCAGCACTCAGAAGGCAGGAGGCAGATGGATCGCTGTGGTCTACACAGTGAGTTCCAGGATAGCAGAAGCTACATAGTGAGACCCTGTCTCGAAACAAACAAAACCAAAGGAAAAACCAGCCCTGGGATGTGGCAGGGCTGGGGACGAGGCAGGCTGGGATGTGGCAGGGCTCTTCCCAGCTAGAGTGTGCACACTGCAAGTCTGGCATGCTCCCACTGCCCCAGCACACACAATTCACAGAAGCCAAGCGTGCAAGCAGCACTTTGCTGTGCACGGCCTCCCTGCATCCAGCCCTGCCCCTCAGCTGGGCTGGCGAGGTCCCCAAACTCTGCAGCCCCAGCTTCACTCCGGCTGGAGCCCCAGGGTACACACCTTCTTGTCCTTCTTCTTCTCTCTCTCTCTCTCTTTGGGCTTCTTCTCCTTCTTCTTGGGCTTCTTGCTCTTCTTCTCTCCCCCAGGGACGCCCTCCTTTTCTAGGGACTTCACCGTCTCTGCATTTCTATGTTTTTGAACGGGCAGCTTCTCACTGTCAGCCAAGGGCCTTGGAAAAGGGGGGAGGTGGGGTCAGCAGGCTGAGCTGTGACCCAGCCCTCTGGCTGCTGGCCCTGTGAATCCAGAGGCTCCAGCAAGTACCCACAACAACTAAGGTGGAGGAGCACCCTTGGGTGTGCCCTGGTCTTCCCTCCTGCTGTTTTGGATGTGATACCATATGGCCATGCTCAAGTAGGATGTGGGTGTCTATGTGCTGGTGCACACGTGTCCATGCTCAAGCGGAGGACAGAGGCCCATGTCAGGTGTTTTCCTCTGCTGCTCTCCACTCTATCTTTTGAGACACGGTCTCTTACTGAACCTGGCGCCTCCTCACTTGGATAGGCTGGCCAGCCAATGAGCTCCAGGGATCACTTTGTGCCCTGGCTGCTAGAGTGGGCCTTTAGTGAGTTCTGGGGTGGAGCTCAGGTCCTCAGGCTCCCACAGTAGGCACTACCCTGAGCCACCACCACAGCACACACCCACCCCCGTGGCCGTGCACTTCCCACCCTAGGCTAAGGACTCCCTCAGCACCCTGGGAATGGGGACCTCACCACCCAGGTGTAGCCCCACCCAGCCTGTTCCTCAGCCCTCACTTACTTATCCAGGTCGATGTCCAGTGCCCTGTAGGGGTCGTTGGGGTCTTTGTCGTCCTCGTCACTAGGCAGGGCATTCTGAGGGGATGGAGGGGCAGCGTTCAGCCAACTAACAAGCACAAGTCCTGGTGGAGACTCTGGCCCCTTCTGACCCAAATCATAGGGCTGTCTGGGCAGTCGTGCCTACACCTGCATGTGCCAGATGCCCAGCCTGGGGGGGGCACCCTTAAGTGCCACACACAGCGGGGGCTGCCAGCTCACAGAGCGGAGGAAATCCATGTCTGTCATGAAGGACTTGTACTTCAGGCAACTGTGTGGTCATCTGCTCAGAGCCAGCCTCTCGCCTCCTGCACTTTTAGGGACACGCAGACAAGCCTGTTGCCACCAAGGCTGAAAGGGCTGGGCAGGGGCTAACCTCGGGCATCTCCTCAGTGATGATGTCCACGCGCTGAGCAGGGGCAATGTCCTCATCGCTCTCTGTAGGCAAGGAGCTGTGGCGGCGCTTGCCCTTCTCCTTCTTCTTCCTTTTCTTGTCCTTCTCTAGCCGCTGCCGGTGCCGCCGCTGCTCTTCCAGCTTCACATACTGGTCTGACATGGGCATGCCTGTGGGGAAGTGTGGATGGCCACAGCTCAGGGACACCAAGAACCCCACCATGTCTGCACATAAGCTTAGAGCCAGAAGACACTTGCCTGGAACCTTCAGAGGCACTGAGAGATCGATCTGCACCACAGGAATGTGCTCCACGCCTGGTGCATCCTGGTATCGCTGAAGGAGGAACCGTAGGGTGTCAGTGAGCCTCAGGGACTCAGGAGGCAGGAAAGGGGGTACCCTGTGTGCCAGAGAGTGAGGGCCCCACATGCAGCCTGGGAGTATTCCTCATATGCTCCAGGGTCCATAAGGATAAGAAGGGACCGCAGCCCAGGAGCATGCTGCCATAGGGCTATGAGGAAGGAACTAACGGTAGCCTTCCTTTTACACCAAAATAAAATCTACCCACGATTGTCATTTTTCATTTATTTACTTTGGACATCAGGCTCGCCTCAAACTCACTATGTAGCCAAGGGCGACCTTAAATTTCTGACTCTGCTGTCTCTACCTCCTGAATGCTGGAATGAACATGCCTGCTTTGTGTGTGCTGGCCAAGGCTCTCCCCTACCACAGAGTCCTCATTCTAGTGCCAATCCTGACTTCTTTCCAAAATGGGAACTTAACTCCAGAGCAGGTACCCTCCACACCCTGGGGTGCTGTCAACTCTCCTCCTTGGCCGTGATGGTTAACAGTGACCCTCATACCATTGTAGAATCTGCCCACAAAAGCTGAAATCTCCTAGGAACGTGAGGCTCTGCAAAGGGCTAAGAAGCCAGGCACTTGCCCATGTGGGAGCAGAACTACCTGTGGGTGCAATAGGCCAGATGGGCAGAGCATCCACATCAAGGCAGGGACCCTGGCCCTGGGGACCCATCTAGACCACCCAGGGCTCTCTACCAACACCTAGAAGCAGCACAGCCCTGCTTGGCTGCAGCTGGGGCTACACAGGCCCAGGCCCCTCCCCAAGGCACTGCCATAATTACATTACTCTCTTGGGACTTCAGCATGGCAGCTGGTGGGGGAACGCTCAAGGCCACCACTTGCCTTCTGTGGGGACGTGGAGCTCTTGATGTAGAAGGGATTGTTGGCTTGTTCCTGCTTCCGGGCCTCTCGCCGCTGTGGGGTAAGGACTCCATGTGAGCACATATCTCAGAGACATGCCTGTCCAGCTCCCAAGACCCCAGGCGGGCAGAGAGGGGTCACAGTAGGAGGCATGAAGACCACCTCAAGGAGCAGAGCTTATGGGTGGGCAGACCATACTGTCTCCTGGGAGCAGGGCTTATGGGTGGGCAAACTGCCCGAGGTTTGCTGGCTTCAGTCTGTCCATCCTGAGCAAGCTCCTGCCCACTGAGCCTACTCTGCTGTTCCTGCTCAAGGTCCCGAAGGGACTCATAGGAGGTGCTGGTTTGGACAAGAGGACAAATGGACGTCAAGGGTCCTCCGACCTGTGCTCCAATTGGCTGTGTCTGGCAGCATAGCTAAGCCCCAGATGTCCCTAGGCCTGACAATCAGCTACTTTTAATGAACAGACCCCAGCCTGGGCAGACCCAGCTTCTGCCCTGTGCTGGATACTCCTGAAATGGCATGCTCACCCGGGCCAGTTCCTCCTCATCCTCCTCAGGCTGACGGCGCCGAGCATGCCTCGGCTCCTCTTCATGAAAGATGGCCTTGGGTTTCTCTTCCTCAGACTCACTGTCTGAAGGTGGCTCATTGATCCAGGCATCTAGGTCTAGGCTGGGAAGTACAGAGGGGGTGTCACATTGTGGCCTGGTCTCCTTGTGTGCCCTCCTTTCTCCCATGACCACTGCAGACATGTATGTATCCCAAGCAGAGGGACACCATGAGTCTGTGACATCTCTCAACACCAGTACCTCTGGGACCAGGCAAGACACGGATGCTACAGGCCCCTTTAAGAAGACAAGAGATGGGAAGGCAGGAAGCCTGGGAGGAAATACAGACCAGGAGGAATACAGAGGCCATGGAGTCTGGCAGAATAATGGCAGGAAAAGATACTCCTGGAGGACCAGGGAACAGGGGTGCAGGAGTTCCAACACAGAGCGGCTCAGGCCACCTAGTCCCAGGACCATCTCTTGTCCCGCTGGCTGGTGGCAGGTCCTAGGGTATGGAAGTCCCTACCTAATCTCCTAGATCAGGGATAGTTACAGTGGCTGCAGCCTCATTTCTCCCTCACGTCCCCAGTCCTCACCCTTCAGGAACTGGGACCTTCTTCTGGGCCTTGGGAGCCACAGGGTTCAGTTCTCCTGCAAACAAGGCGCTCACTTCCTCGGCCACCGGCACGCCTTTTGCCTGCAGCTTCTGCACATGCTTTACCAGCTGCAGGATGCAAGATGCCTAGGGGAGCAGCGGCCAAGAGTAAGATGTCTACACAGAGCCACTCAGCCACTTGGGGGGACTCAGGAGCCAGGTATGTGAGAATGGGGTGCCCCTCCCCATGTGGCTCAGCTACAGACCCAGTCCTGTCAGTGGCCATCTCAGATGGCGAGGGACAAGCCCTTCCAGGGTCAGAAAGGAGGGAGCTCAGCTCAGGTGGAGAAGACTACATGTAATACCACCTCCTGTGGGGCCACCAATGGCCACGCAGTCCTGTGCTGGCTCTCACTCTGTGTAGTACCCACACCCATATACAACTGTACTGAGGAGCTCTTGCTACCATGCACCGTGATCAACTCCAACAAACGTCAGCTGTGACTCAGTGTGGGTCCATATTTTGCACAGGGCCCAGCCTGGGCCAGCTCCTCTACCATAGCTGGGTCGGCACTGAGACCTGACCTCTTCAAAGGAGAGTCCCCAAACACCTCGCAGAAGCCACATGGCACCTGGTTCAGTGACAGCCTACATTACAGGGGGTGCCAAGAGCAGCCCTGGCAATGGGGGCCCAATCCTCAGTTGTCAGCCCGGGACCTTGGCCACCTGCTGTCCTAGGCTGGGGTGTGATTCAGTGACACAACACCTGCATGACACACACAGGTTCCTGGTTCAGGGCCTGCCCCACAACAAAGGTGGTGCCAAATCGGCTCTCGCACAACAGCAGCAGGGCCTTGCTCACCCTCATCACCTCCTACCCTGGCTCTTAGGCCCATCCACACACAATCCCTGCTCATGGAGCCCAAACCTTAGCTGGACAGAGCTAGGATAGGGACTTCAACAACTCACTTTGGAAAAGGGAGAAAATCCCTCCCATCTAATGGTTCTGCTGGGGACAAGGACCTGGAGAAGGGCCAAGAGTGTCTCCAGACATGGGGGCCTGGTAACACCACCACCGTTGAGTCCAGCCACAGCTGTGTGGGCATACACGTTTAAGCATGGTCCCAGCTGCAGGTGCTGTGCAGGAAGCTAGGGAAACTGTAGGAGGTGGTCCCGCTGCCTCTGAGGTGTGGGATGTGAGCGGGCATCCCTGCCCTCCTGCCTGATACCATGCCAGCCCTGGATGTGCCCATAGGGCCTGAGCTATGGCCCTTGCCAGGTTTCGTCTCAGCTGTGAGCAGAGCCCCCAGTTCGCAGGCCTTACCCGCTCCTGCACCTCCAGGTCGGCACTCTGCACAAACTGCGGCAGCCGCTCCACCAGTAGCTGGGTGACCTCCTGTGCAGCCTCAGCGTCGTCAGCCTGCTCCTTCTGCTGCAGGATGGACGCGTACAGCTTTACCACGTTCTGCACATACACAGCCTGGATGTGGCCGGGCAGTGTGGTGACCTTGGGCCGCAGCATGGCCTCCAGGGTTTGCTGGGGGCCCTGTAGGTGCCTGAGGGACAGGAGCTGCATGAGGCTACTGCACACACACAGGCACATCTCACAAGGAAGCCAGGCCAGGGGATGTGGAGCCTAGTCTTCTCAGCTAAAGTGCAGCCTTGGGGTGCTTGCTCTCACTGTGCAGAAGCAGGGAAAACAAAGAACCACGAACTGCACACAAAGGGACATGGTTCGAACCCACAGCAAAGCTGTGAATGTCACCAGCAGACACAAAGGACAGAGGACCTGCATGGCCGCCCACTTGCTGCCATTTATTTGTACTTGGTAATGAGCGTTTGCCTAATGTGTATAAGGCCCTAGGTTCAATTCCCAGTACCACAAAAGTTGGTTAATAAACTTCTGCAGGCATCTGTGAACGGTGGCTACCCTGTGAGTTCAAAGGGGAAGCTCCCACTAAGTCCTCAAAAGGGGACTGATACGCAGCTCTTGGGCTGAGCCCTGGGGCATTGGGAGGTGCTGGGCAAATTTTGTTATCTTCCAGAAAAGCGGGCTTTCCAGCAGATCTCTGCGACACCTGGGTTTGATATTTAACAACAAATGCACATCTGCTGTGGGTCACAGCTGTCACGTGTGCTCTGGGCCAGGTATGTGAGGTGGAATGGAGTGCCGCAGCCATCCCAGCCCACCCACCCATGCGCTCCTGAAGCCTGGCATGAAGGCGAAGCAGCTGCCATGTGGAGATCCACAAGGGTCTCAGGGCTGGTGGGCACAGGCCCAGCTAAGAAGTCACCTCAAGCAGAACAGATCTGCTCCATGATCTACGATCTAGAGGGCACCCTCTCCAGAGCCAGTGAGAGCAACAGACAGGCCATCACTTGGGTGGGGCTGCCCAATAGTGACCATATTTCAGGCAAAGGGTCTGCCTACGTGTCACCCACCAGACTACCTCTGAGGGCCACACCAACTCACTCTGAGAACTCCCCGCAGATCCAGGCAGCAGCATAGAGCACCTCACAGATGCCATTGCGCTGGGTGCTGCTGGTCACCAGGTGGGCACTGTCAAGCAGTGCAGACATCTGGGACACAGCAAATTTTCGAATGGCCTTGACCCGGATGGCCACATCCAGCATCTGGGCAGCAATGAGGTGGCCATGGCGGGTGCCCTCCAGCCTTGTCAGCTCCACGAGGATGCTGATGTACCACTCGAAGTTGGTGATGTGCTGGTAGTTGGATTGGCTGCAGATGTCAATGATCTTGGTGAGCAGCTCATCTCGATAGGTAGTGCCCTCGGCCTTGTCCACATGGGTCATCAGCTTCTTCACAATCTCCATCAGGTTCTTTTTGGACACCTGTGGCACAAGAGCCAGCTGCTCAGCACAGACAGACATGGCCGGCTGTGACCGCTGAGAGCCGAGATGGAACCTTTATGAGCCCAAGAGGGATATCTTCCTCCCCACACAGAATTGTGTCTAACTAAGGGATGGGGCAGAGGCCCTCAAATTGGGTACCCAGCCTCATTCTCTACAGCCTGGACAGGTGCTAGCTGCTAACCCCACCAGGCCCAGGCTGCTGTTCCAGCCTGAACAGCAGTGGCCCAGGTGCAGGATGGCACACACCATTCCGTAGAGCAAATCGAGGGCACGCAGGCGGATGGACTCGTCCTTGTCGTCCAGGCACTGAAGGATCAGGTCCTTGTGAGACTGCACAGACTTGGGGTGTGTCTTCAGGATTTTAGACATGGCCAGCAGCCCCAGGTACTTTACTGTGAAGACCAAGTGGCCATTAGCTTGGGGAGAGTGAATGAACACCACAGTCCATGGGAGCAACGGGAGTGTGTCACCGCCTCCAGCCACTGTGGCCCCAGCTGGTGCTGGTTGCAGCTGATGGCCACTTCTGTGGGGCCCCTCCAGGAAAGCCAAGGTGGAGGCTGTGTACACAGCATGGTCTACAGGAATGGCCTTCTGGAAACTGGAGGAACAGGTGTCAGGAGCAGGCAGCGAGGAGCCCCACAGCAGACTCTGCAGTGGCTCTGACTGTAACTCCAGCTCCAGAGCAGCAGACATCTCCCACCCCCTTGGGTGCTGGCATTCCCGAGCACAGACCCACACACATACATTAATTATGAATGGAAAAATTGCAAAGAACGTAAAAACATGTATATTAAAAAAAAAACAAACAAGCAAACAAACAAACAAAGCCTGCTGTGCTTAGTGGTGCACACCTTTAATCCTAGCACCTGGGAGGCAAAGGCAAGTGGATCTCTCTGAGTTCAAGTCCAGCCTGATCTACACAGTGAGTTCAAGGCAAGTTTGGGCTACACAGAGAAACCCTGTCTCAAAAAATAAAACAAGAACCCTAATGATGGTATATTTGAGGACCCTGCTACATACTCTAAAGGTCCCTGCTAGCCAAAGCAACAGTGGCTGCTAGCCTGGTTCAGGCCTCATGAAAACCGAAGGGAAAGCCGGGTGTAGTGGCACACACCTGTAATCGCGGCAGCTGGGAGGCAGAGGCAGACGGATCTCTGAGTTCCAGGCCAAACTGGTCTACAAAACAAGTCTACGACAGCCAGGGCTACAGAGAGAAAACAACAATAACAACAGGAAGGAAGGAAGGCAGAAAAGGCAGGAAGGAAGGAAATTGAAGGGAGAGGGTTAAGCAGGAGCCACAGATGACAAGTGTGCACCCAGAAGCCTGAAGCCTCACTTGGTGACAAGTCTGGAGCTGGCCACCATCAACAGATTACTCAGAGATACATTCCAACAGCACAAACACGAGAACTGCAGACACATCCAAGGTGGGGAATGTGTGGTCCCTGGGCCCCATGAGGAAGTCTGTCTTTTGTTTGTTTGTTTGTTTGTTTGTTTTTGGTCTTCTGAGACAAGGTTTCTCTGCGTAGCCCCGTCCTGGCTGCCCTAGACTTGCTTTGTAGACCAGGCTGGCCTCAAACTCAGAGATCCACCTGCCTCTGCCTCCCAAGTGCTGGGATTAAAGGTGTGCACTGCCACACCTGGCTGAGGAAGTCTGTCTTTAGACCCTGGCTCTAAGGTAAATACCGGGACCATGGTAGACACTGGGGCTGAGCCCTGGTCTGAGGAGCCAGGAGATGGGACAGACATGGACCCCATTTTGGAGCAGGTTTAGCCAGAGAACACTGTGGGGACACAGGGAAGACGGCAATGGGCCGCACACACCCCTCTGAGGCCCAGGCGGATGCTAGGCAGACTGCTGGAGGGACTTTGATCTCCACCACCTCCCAAGTGCTGAGTGACAGGCGTGCTCCCCCACACCAGGCCTCCTTTCCCCTTCAAATTAAAGACATTACATTAGTTGGCATCCCAGCACACAGAAGGCAGATCTGTGTGAGTTCAAGGCCAGCCTGGTCTACTGACTACTCCTGTCAAGCTGTGAGGAGCCAGAACAGGATCATGGATTAGAAAAGGCCCTTGCTCTGGCTCAGCTGGTCACTGTAACCTCGTTGATGGGGACAAGGGAAGAAGCCACACCTTTGTCAGCCAGTAAACTCTAAGCCCTGTCAGCCCGCAGCATAAATCCCAACATGCTGCTGTGCCCAAGGCCCTAGCCAGTGTGCCACCTGAGGCCATGCTGTCTCTCAGGCGCCATGCAGCACCTTGTCCCACTGCACCCTGCCAGCCCTAGCCAAGAGCCACAGCAGCATTGCTAACCGTGCAGTGCAGTGTGACTGGCTGTTGCTCTGGCCATAGAATGCAGCAGCTTCCGCTCCCAACACAATACCCATTGTCCCTATTAGTTTGTCCCGTTCAGACTGCCCCACGTCCAGTCCCTTGAAGGAAGAAAGGACTCTAGATGCTGCCATGTAGTGTATCCCTTGTAACAACAACCCCCCGCCCCCCCCCCCCCCCGCTAACCTGCAGCCTCTCCTGTTTGAGCAAGAACCACAGGGGTGCACATGGACACTTGCACCCCTGACAGTGTGGCACCAGAGGACACTAAAGGCAGCAAGGAAACCAGGTGGAGGATACCAGACCAACTCGAGGAGGCACAAGCCCCTGCGTCTCCCACATCATCTCCCAGCCGGCCCAGCTCTATCACCCGCTGCTAGGCTCTGTGTGGTGTGACCCGCCTGTCTCCTGACCTGTGTCACACACTGACCTGTCCCAGCTTTTATCTCTGCTGCATCACCACCCTAAGGCTGAAAGAACAGTTGACTATCAGCCTGGGCCTATGGCCTGAGGCTTTATTTCAAAGGAGGGCAGGACCTGGGCTCAGGAAGGCCTAGCAGGCAAGCCTGTCACCCAGCACTGAGGAAGTGGAGGGGAAACCATCAGGAGCTCAAGGGCTCTGCTACCTGGTGTGCTCCAGGCCAATCTCGCCTCCACAGCCCTTCTGCAACCCTACTCAGAGTCACTCAGGAAGAGCGGGATAAATTCAGACCCCCTGGACCCTGAGGGAGGTGTTGCAGCTACCAGCCAGGCTGTTGGATTCCTCCCTCCATGGGTAGGAGAGTGGGACCCCCACATCCGCACACCACATTCAGGCGAAGCCCACGCCACCTCCACGGAAGCCCGTGCCAGCCAGATCTGGCAGAAAAGAATTGCTCTTCATGAGAAATGTCAGGGCACTTTAATCAAAATATCCCTGAGGGTCCTGCAGGGGGTAGGGGGGCCACTATCTATACACGAGCCCTTCTCCTTGCCCTCCCCTGCCCCGGCGGCCCAGCCTGGGCTCCATGGGAGTGGGGGGAGGTGACCCATCCAAGGCAGGCAGTGGAAAGCCTCTCCCAGAGGAACAGTCTGCAACAGTGTAGTTGAGCCCCCTCTCGGCTGCAGGCGGGCAGCCTCTGTCAGTGCTGGGTCAGACACTCAGAGGCATTCTCCAAGGTCAGGTGGATCAGGTGCTGTGGTTCCAGACACTTTATGGTATGTGAAAGGCTTTGTGGGAGGAGGAGGAGGTGCCCTGAGCCCATTGCCTGTTGTTTGCCCTTCTGCCTCCCTTCCTAGGCTGCCTCTCAGGCCCCAATACAGCCCACACTAGTTCCTGTTCGAGACTTGAGCTCCTCCTGCCTCAGCCTCCTGGAAGGCGAGGACTAAGGTATGCATGGCTGCCCCTGGTCCCCTGTTCTTAAGTCCTCCTGAGTGCTGTGGGGTGCAGGTAGGCTCCCCCAACCCTCCCCTACCCACAATTTCAGGCCTTATTAGGGCATGAGGGGGTGGGCTCTGGGGTGGTAAAGAGGTCACTTGGAGTTCTGTGCTTTCCCCAGGCCACCTGCTTCTTTGTAGCCTTATTTCCCAGCTCACTCACAAGGCTGGGATGATTCTGCACATCCAAGGTGAGGCCGTATAGAAGGAAGACAGCATGGTTCACGAAGTGGCCACACAGGTGGGTGTGATAACAGATGTCCAGTGTGCCCCTAGGCACACAGCCCTGCCCAGCATCCCCCCCCACTCACTGACCCAAAAGACCTCCTCTATCCCTCCCTCACTCCTCCCCTCCCTTTGCCCTCTCCACACCTCACCCTATCCTCCCCATCTTCACCCCATCCCTCCTCCCTCCTTCCCATCTTCCCCTCCCCTCATTCCTAACCTTCCCCCCTCCCCTCCCTCCCTGTTCCCCCCTCTCCAATGGAAAGCCTGATCTTACCTGGTGCCTACATCCTGTCTGAAATAGAATGGGACTCCAATTAGACCCTCCAAGTCTGCCACCAACTTGGTAGCCCTAGGTTTCATGAGGACCTTTCATCCAGGACAGTCTGCCCCCTTCCTCCAGGTGAGCTTGGAGACCCTTGAGGGCTGAGGGCAAGGTCCTCCTGTGCCTCCACAGGCTTCGAGCCTTCACCTAAGGCACACACTGCCTCACCTCGGAATCGAGCAGGAACTTACTTGTGCCAGGTATGTCTACAACGACAGCAGGTTTGGAGTCAGGGGACCAAGCGGTCTTCATGTCCCCCTCTCTGGGTCCTGGTGCCCAATAAGCCCCAGCTCACATGTAACTCAGAAGGCCCTGTACAGCTGACCTCCACTGTGCCGATGTCCTGGGGGGACACAGGGCTTGGTGATGGGGTATCCCCAAGGCCCAGGTCCCCTCCCCTGTCCAGGGAACGATCATGGGATCCCAGGGGCGGTGGAATTTGTGGCTGAGCCATACTTGCAGTAGTAGCCAAAGCAGACGATGTGTGAGTCTGTGCAGTTGATGCAGGAGATGGTCTCATACTGGTAGATGCCTACGGTACATGGGAGGCAGCCACAGGCTCCCCTGTCCTTCCCCCCCACCCGCACCCAGCCTGGGTCCTTGCCACTGTGTCCCTCAGCCTGGACCGTGGTTCACTTACCACAGTGACGCTGACAGTCGATGCGGCCTGAGGAGGGGGAGGACACACTAGGACAGGGCCTTCTGACAAGGCCCAGAGCTCAAGACCTCAGCCCCACTTCTGTTTTTGTAGCCCAGGCTAGCCTGGCACAGAGAAGTTAGGTCTAGGCTGACAATCCCTTTGCCTCATTCCCTCATTCCAGAGTGCTAGGATTACAAGCACGTGCCCCATGCATTTTATAAAAGTTGGAAGGGGTCCTCAGGGAGGCCTCCAGTGCCACAGGGGGCCAGTCTAGGGGAAGGGTGGTTTGACAGATGTGAGCAGGTGATGGGGACGCTGGTGACCATGCAAAAGGGCCCCTCCTGCGGAGCCGCTCCCTCCTGGACCCCGTTTCCAGGGCCCCCAGCCCTGAAGCGCAGGCGGTCACAGGCACTGTTTCCCCCGTGGAGCCCGCTGCTCACTCTCTATGATGGCGTTCTGGATGAGGCGCACTTGCTCCCGGAAGATGGCCCGCAGCTCATTGGGAAAATACCCTGACGTGGGAGTCACAGCAGGTGGTCAAGCTCAGTTGCCTAGCGACACGCACAGGCCCCACCTCGGTTTCCTGTTATCTATTTACTTATTTTCTTTACCTGGGAAGTACATCTTCCCCTGGTACAGCTGGTCCATCTTCTGGTACACGGCTCCTGCCACTTGCTCCAGCTTCTGGTGGGCTGAGGGCGGGAGGAAGAGGAAGCAGATGAGTGGCCCCGCCCTGGTCCCCGCTGCTCTTGTGACCCTGGGATGGGTTCCGCCGCTCACTGATCTCAGCGGGGATGGCCAGGTGTAGCTCCTTCATCGTGTTCTGGCTCCACTCGGAGAGCAGCACCCCTGACACAGGGATGTCACCCACCCACCAGGACTTGAGGTTCAGGTGGTGGCGATAGAAGGAGAACTTCTCCGAGAAATTGGGGTCGCAGTGCAGACAGCCCAGGGCCAGCGCCGCTGTCATGCCCAGGCACAGCAGCACGGCCAGGGCCTGGCCCGGCCGGCCCTGCCCATCCATCGGCGCCGCCAGCGCCGCGCCCTCCAGCCGCGCACCAACCAACGGCGCCGCCCGCGCCGCGCCCGTCACGCCGCACCAACCAACGGCGCGCGCTCCGGACCCAGCCGCGCCATCCCCGCCCCCGGCCCGGCCCTGCCTCCAGCCCTGGCCCCGCCCACAGGCCGGGCCTGCCCACGGAACGGCTCCGCCCCTGCCCCAGCCTGGTTCCGCCCACTGGCCTGGTCCCGCCCTCCAGCGGCTCTTCCCTACCTCCTGCCTGTCCCCCGCCCCCACCCTCTACCGCGACCTGGGTCCCAGGCCTGGCTCCGCCCTCGAACCTGGCTCCGCCTCAGACCTGGCCAGAGTCCCGTTACGATTGGGAACTAGCAACGCCAGTCTACCTCCAGGCTCCGCCCCCGCCCCCGCATTGGTTCCGCAGGGCCTCACGCGGGCGCCAAGGCCTGGTGCCGCCCCTCAGCCGCAGTGACTCCAGCCAATGAGCAGCGCCCGGCCTGGTCTCCGGGGTGTGGCCGGGCCTCCGTCAGCGCCCGCCTTTTTTCCGGGGCCGTCGGAAGCTCGGCCGCCACGCCTCCGTGCGGGCCCTGCTCCTTTAAGGGAAGAATCCGGCCCGCGGGCGCGGCCGGGAGGGGCTGGCGGCGTGTCCCTCCGCGGGCGTGTCCCTCTCGGGCGCGGCCCACAGCCAGGCGAGCGGCGGTCCGTACGGACGGTGGCGGTCCTCAGGCCAGGTGCGTGCTCGGAGGGCGGAGGCGGGCGGCGGGGCTCCATCCCTCGGGATGACTTTGTCCAGAGCCCCAAAGTGGGTGGTGGGGACCTTGACCTGTCAAAAGGAGGGGGAGTGAGCGTCGTGGATCGCAAACTCCCTCTTTAAGATCTGAGGTCTCGGGTAGCCTAGGCTGGCCTTCAGCTGCCGGGTCGGATCCTCCATCCGTCGACCGCCTGACTCATCTCTTTGAAACGACGTTTCCGATAGAAATCCATTGAAGGTCTGGGCTCTTGTTCAGGGACGAAACATTTGCCTTGTATGTAGAAAAGCCCTGGTTTCCATCCCTGCTCCTGCCTCATCGCTCCCCCGCCAAAAACAAACAAACAAACAAACAAACAGAAAAAGCCAGTGAAAAGGAGAGATTCGAAAGCAGATTACAGAAAGTTAACTTTGGGCAGCTTCTTCTCCTCCTCCTTCTCCCCCCCCCTACCCTTCACCCCCTCGCCTCTGCCTCCCAAACGCTGGGATTAGAGGCCTGCACCAATGCCTTTCCATTTCCTCGTCCCTCCTCCTCCTTTCCCTAGGCTCCTTAGAATAAAGTGCCTGCATTCAAAGCAGAGATTTGGCATAGTATGAGGCATGGCAAAGGTCATTTTTGCATCTTCCAGAGCCCACGTGTATCCTTGTAATTACCTCGTTATCCTTGTGTTACCATTATGCAAAATTGGGGCGAGGGGACACGGAGACAGCGTCTTCAGTGTCCCAGTCTTAGGTTCCTTCCACACCTCCTCCAGTCTTGGATCATATACTGGAGGAGGCTCCTGGTTGCCTTGTTCCTAGGCACCCCTGAAGAAGGTTCAAGCACCCCGAGGTTGACAGTAAGGACTCTCCTCTCAGGCCAGCACTTCCTTTATTGCGGAGGAACTGCTGGATAGTTCTGGAAGTGACACAGCTTCAGAGATGTGTTAGCTGGAGATTTGGAGACAGATGCAAAAGAAAGCACAGACTTATCTGTTGACAAGGGCAAGGTCTGAGAGTTTCTGGAAGCTAGGTTCTTAGCCTCACCTGTCCAGGGCGCATTATTAGAACTCAGTGAACTATAGTCTGCTGTTTATAGAGTGGTGACAAGGCGTGAGAGTTCCACGCCGAGTTCCACGCCGGGGCTCCTTGATGGCTGTCCTTTCTCTACCTTTATCCACTAGAGTTACATTTAAATTCAAGGGCAGCCTGGGCTACTTAGTGAAACCTCATCTCAAAAAGAGCAAAAGGGTTGGGCACGTGGTCACGCCTGGAGCCCCAGCCTAGAATCCCCCAGGTGGGGGTCTGAGGGCGTGACTTAGCAGCAGAACATTAATTTAGGATATGCAAGGGCCTGTGTTCCTCCCCAGTATTGGAGGAGAATGAAAGATAAGCACGGCCCCAAAGTACAATTAATTTTCCTATTTTCTATTTATTTTTTAATGTATGTTGTTGTTTTGCCTATATGTGCATCAGTATAAGGGTGTCAGGAATAGGAGTTACAGTTGTGAGCTGCCATGTGGGTACTGGGAATTGAACCCAGGTCTTCCAGAAGAGCCACTGATGCTCTTATCTACCGAGCCATCTCTCCAGCCCTAGAATTAATTATTCAGTGTTAGGATGGACTGAAAGTGATAGAAACAGCTGGTTTGAATTTCCTCTGTGTGGGACCAGTGCCTGGGGCAGAGGCCCCAGTCAGCCTGTGTGCTTACTGAAAGCAGGATGACGGGTAGGGTGCCGGGCGGGATGGTCTCCAGGCTCCGTTCAGCATGGACGACATGCCCTTTGACCCAAGATATGTGGCCTTTTTCTATTCATGTGTCGTGTATGTGTGTGAGCCTGAGTGTATGCCAGCCGCCTGTAGGAGCCCCAGGGAGTCAGAAGGGCTGTCGGGTCCCCTGCAACTTGATCACGTGCAGTTGTGAGCCACCTCGTGAGTGCAGGGAGCCGAACCCCAGCCCTCTGCAAGAGCAGTAAGTGCTCCAAGGCCCAGAGCCATGGCTCCAGCCCCTCTTTTGTTGTTGTTTTGTTTTGTTTTGTTTTCCCCAGACAGGGTTTCTTTGTTTAATGAAGTCCTGGCTGTCCTGGACTCACTCTGTTGACCAGGCTGTCCTCGAACTCACAGAGACCCATCTGCCTCTGCCTCCCAAGTGCTGGGATTATAGGCATGCGTCACCAAGCCTGGCCATAAAATACAAATTTTAAATGAAAAAATAAGGAAAGAGAAAAAGACAGGCCTAGGATGCAGCCTGGTGGAGACTGCTTCCTCGGTGGGCCTTGGTTCCATCCACAGCACCAAAAAGGGCAAACACCAACCTTAAATCTCCTGCATCGCGTTTAGGAACTGACTAGCGCAGGGCTGCAGAGAGCAGGGGCGTGACCTGCTGCTCCTTCAAGGACCTGGGCTCAGGTCTCAACCCCCGCGAGGCGCTCACGAGCCCCTGGAAGTGCAGCCCAGGGGGTCCAGTGTGTGCATGTAGGTGCATGCAGGCAAGCACTCATACCCACACGATGGAAGTGAATATGTCTCTGGTTACATGAGAGCCCATCTCAGTGTCCACCCCACAGGCACGAACCAAAGAAACAAAACACAAGGGTTGGGTCAGACACCCCAAGAGGCCCCCAGACGGGAGGAGAGAGCTGAGCCCCCACGCTGTCCTCAGCCTCCATGTGCCCCCCTCGTCCATGTGCCCAGGGTGGTAATAGTGTAGTAGTGACGACAGTGATAGCTGGCAAAAACCTAAACACACAAAGGAAAAGGGGCCAGGTGGTGGCTGGCCCTGGGGAGGAGCGGCAGGAGGCTGGCTGTGAGTTTACTACCAGCTGTGTCCCTGTGCTGTGTGCGCCACTTTCTGGTGTGGGTGGCGGGACAACTTTGGGAGCTGGTCTCTCCACCATGGAAGTGAGACTCCACAGAGTGAGGTCAGGGCTCCAGGCCTCTGCAGCAAGTACCTGGAACCTTCATGGATTAGTTACTTAGTTTCTAAGACGTGGTCTTTCTGTGTAGCCTTGGTTGTTCTTGTTTTTGTTTCAGATTTTTTTTTTTTTTTTCAAGACAGGGTTCCTCTGTGTATCCCTGGCTGTCCTGAACTCACTCTGTAGACCAGGCTGGCCTCGAACTCGGAGATCCACCTGCCTCTGCATCCTGAGTGCTGGGATTAAAGGTGTGCACCACCACTACCCAGCTGAATTTATTGTTTTTTAAAGACAACAGCATCTTGCTGTGGGGTCTAGCTTGGCCCAGAGCTCTCAGCCCAAGCGATCCTCCTGCCTCAGCTTTCCAAGTGCTGCCATGGCAGGAGCAGTTTTGGTTTTGCAGCACAGTTGAGTGTGAGGTTGGCCAGGTTTCAGCCACAGGGGTAAGGGTGTATGTGTGTGTGTAAGGGTGCGGTCTCCGTGACCTGAGTTTGCAGCTGTGCATAGGGCCTCACTGGGAAGGGGCCCGGTCTCCTGCCAGCTCAGCTCGCCCTCGCACTGAGGGCCTGTGGATCCAGGGGTGTGAGCAGCCTTCCTCCCCCCCCCCCCAAGCAATGGTGAAGCTGCTTTTGTTTGTGTCTGTTGCCTTAAAGAAACCTGCGTTCATCTATCTATTTCTTCATTTATTTTGTGCTCGAGGAGCTGACAGGGAAGCGCCTAGTCTGTCCTTCCTCCATATGGCTTCCCATGGGACTCAGTTTCCCAGGCTGTGACCAGGGCCTTCACCCACTGGCCCCTGCTTAATTTTTTTCTTCTCCCTAGCTCCATGTTTAAACCCACAAGACCCTATTATTCATCTCGCAGGAAGCTCGCAAACTGCCACTTCAAAAGCCAGGCATGGTGGGGCATGTCTGTCAGTCTAGCCTTCAGGGAGGGGCAGGAAGAGCAGGGCTACCTGAGGTGCTGTCTGAAAAAGCCAGAGCCAAACACAGTGCCCGTGTGAGCGAGTGAGGGTCTCCGGGTGGGATGGCCCGCTCAAATGCACACTTCCAGCAGGAACCCCCTGCTAGGGAAAGCCCGAGTGGGTCATGGGCAGCCGGTGCCCCAAGGAAACACTTGGCCAGGCTGTGGAAGTCCCCTCCGCTCCGAAAGCGTGGCTTTCACCCAGGGAAGTTCTCAGGAATCCCCGGCAGCTGGGAATAGATCTGGCTTTCTCAAAAATGCCCAGAACCTGAAAGGGGAAAACTGTTACAGCAAGAGGAGTCTGTGCAGTTGAGTCCCACAGAGAAGCACTTCCCTTTTCTGAAGACCTTCCTGTGCCCATGGTTCCTTCTCCTTGCCCTCTTTTCTTTATCCTGGTGGAACTGAGATATGGAATCCTTTAACACATTCCAGTCAGGCACTCACCGCTGGCCACGCCCCCAGCCCTTCACTGGGGACTCTAGGTGGGGCTCCACAGGGGCTCCACCCCTGTGGCTTGGTTATCTGAAGGTAGTTGTATTTAGATCAGAAAACCAGAGTGTACACTATTATAAACAAACACTGGGGAAGATAGCAAGTTCTAGTCTAGCCTGGGCTATACTTTGAGGCCTCATCTTCAAAACAAAAAAAAAAAAGAAGAAGAAGAAGAAGAAGAAGAAGAAGAAGAAGAAGAAGAAGAAGAAGAAAAGAAAATTGACCTTCGAATAGGCAGGCCTGTGTCTGCTGCCCTGTAGGAAGGTCCCATTGTTACAGAGGTCCCCTCTAAAGCTCCAGGATGTAGTCCCACCCCAATGGGGCTCAGAAATCGTGGCACAGCCTGCAGAATCAAAACAGGCAGTGCAGCCAGGCATACTGGCACACGCCTGTGGTCTCTACACTCGGGGAGGCAGAGGCAAGCAGATCTCTGTTAGATGGAGGCCAGCCTGGTCTACAAAGCAAGTCTAGGACACTCAAGGCTAAACAGAGAAACTCCGTCTCAAAAAAACAAAAACAAAACAGGCAGTGTACAGAGGCCTCATTTCACTTTTGTTTTGTCTTTGTTGGGGTGCTGGGTGTTAACCCTGAGACTCAGTTCCTTTCCCCCAGCCACCCCCAGTAACCCATTCTGTGTGGAGGTAGCCTTGAGGCTGTGCTTTGTTCAGGTTCTGGGCTGCCCTGCCACAGAGTGAGGACATGGAACCAGCTTGGGCCTGTCCCCAAGGCAGCGACAGGATGTGGAAACGTCCGGAAGGAAATGGGTGACCCTGGGCTCTTGTGCCCCAGCCTGGGCGGGTCAGAGCCTCATTACTTAGTGCTCTGTTTTCTTGTTTTGTTTTCAGAAAGGGAGGAAGAGGAGTGTGTGGGTGCTGGGGTAGAAGAGAGGCTCAGCTCACCTCATGACCTTGCAGAAGGTTCTAAGTGTCTGTCACGTCCTCTTCATCAGTGGGACAGAGAAGAGGCCCCGAGGTGCTGGCATCCAGTTCTGAGTGGCTGTCAGAAGTTCCCTAAGAGGACCCGAGAGGAGGTATCCAGACAGCGCCCGGGGACTGTGGGGTGGGAGGGTGACAGGCTGGGGCCAGCCTGGGGCTCTGTGCTGAGAGCCTTTGTTCCTGTTAAAAAGCCGTTGATTTTGATAGGGGCTCCATCCAGCCCCAGAGTTCCTAGAAAATTTTTGCTGGGGCAGCATGGCGCACACTTTTAATTCTTTTAATTCCAGCATGGCACTCGGGAGGCAGAAATAGACAGCTCCCTGAGCCTGAATCTAGCCTGGTCTACAAAGCGAATTCCAGGACTGGAAGGAAGGAAGGAAGGAAGGATTGATTGATTTACTTCCTTAAAACAAACCCTTCCCACTTCTAAGAGGACGCAGATGTGGGAGAGGCACTCCATGAGGCCTTCTGCCACTTCAGTTTCTGTAACAGTCTTGGGAGTACAGAAGACAGGCAGAAGACCCAGAGCAGGCAGGTGTGATGACATCAGCCTAGCTGGTAGGAGACTGCAGCAGAAGGATGGAGACTCAGGACCAGCCTGAGCTAGACTATGAGTTCAAAGCCAGCCCAGGCACTTAAAGGCCATGTCTCAAAGTAAAACCTAAGACGCACAGAAATGAAAGTTTCAGAACCTTGTTGGCCTGGGCCGATGGAGGGGGTGAGAGCTGGCTGAGAGGGTTTTTTTCTTCCCAAAGTCCCTTTCGGCCAAACCCAGAGCTGGTATCACACAGAGGCAGATAGAGTAGGGAGGTCCCAGAGGACCTTTCCCACCTCCCCATGGTGACCCTACCTCCTGCTTGCCCCAGCTTGGTGACAGCATTGAGGGGAATCCCCCAAACTGTCCCCAGGAAAGCCCTGAGGAAGATGGGCGGTGACGAGCAGGTAGTAGCTGGCCCCACTCTCCTCAGTGCAAGCCAGAGGCCAGGCAGGACCCAGGAGACACAGCCCTGCCCCCAGCAGCAGCCACTGTATTGGTAAACTGAGGCTTGTTCAGTCAGGATGGCTGTGACGTGTTCAGATGGCCAGCCGTGGGCAGGGCCTGCAGGAGGACTGGCTGGCAGAGGTGCTGGGCAGGTTATAGTTGCAGTGAAGGGCATGGGCACAGTGCTATCTTCCTGATGCCAGTGGGAATGGGCCTTATGCTGCCTAGTTCTGGAAGGCCAGGCCACCAAGGCTCTGCCTGGGAAGGTAGAGACAAGATGATGGGGGATAAAGGCCAACCCCGGCTACCTGGGCTACTTGAGGCCCTGGTTCAGCCACATGAAAGGAAAAGGTGGTGGCTTCTCTTAACTCCATGCCTCCCGGGGAGGCCGTACTCTGCTCTGCACTGAAGCAGGAAGACACAGGAGCTGGGAGAGACCCAGTGCTGAAAGCATGTGTCAGTAGATCCCTGAAGTATGTGCAGGCCCGAGTTGGCTGACACTTGAGCCCACACAGCCTGCTGTCACTGCCCAGCCACGGCTCCTCCCATAGGCCATGGGGCCTACCAGGCGGCTGTCAGCCTCCTGCCTGGAGGGTCCTTGGCAAGGGGATGGCTGCCTGGTCACTTCTGGGGGACCCTGGTTGCAGTGGGGATGGTTGAGTGTCCTGAGCTGTCCCGGTGTGCAGTGGGCGGGATGGACAGGGACGCTGCTTCCCCATCCTACGTGACCAAGCTTGCCCCACAGAGAAGCACCTGGCTTGGTGGCCACTGCACCTCAGGGACTGTCTAAGATGCAGGTGGCATCTTCTCACAAGGCTGTGAAGTCCTCAGTGCCTAGTCAGGTGTGAACCAGGGGCTGCTGACGTGGGGTGAGGGTGGTGTGGCTGCTGTGGGGAAGTTCGGGCCTCTGCTGTCCACAGACTCTTGACCCACAGGCTCCTGCCTCCAGGGAACTGTGATTCCCCACGGGCTCTGTCAGACAGCTGTGAAACTGCCCTTTGTTTTTTATTTATTTTGAGATGGGCTCACTCTGTAGACCAGGCTGGCTTTGAATTCACAGCGCGCCATGTGCCTCTGTCCCAGAGTGCTGGGGTCAAAGGTGTGCAACTCCATGGGAAGGCCTTGTTTTGTTTCTGTGTGACGGGGTCTCGTGTAGCCAGGGCTGGCCTGGAACGAGGTATGTAGTATGTAATTGTTCTGTCTCTGCCTGTGTGCTGGGATCATGGGCATGGGCCTCCATGCTCGGTTTATATCCTTATTGTCTAGATTTCCCCTGTAGTGCTGTTGCCTGTCAGGTTCTGAAGGGAGCAGTTGACACGGCATGAGCCCCAGGGAAGCAATCTTTGCTTCTTCATTTCCGGCGCCCAGAGCAGTCTGAGTAGTTTGTTGCAGTTTTGCTGACATCCTAATTCATGTGCCCTGTGGCTCATTCACAGGTCTAAGGCAGATAAGACAGTATTAAATACAGGCTAAATTGTACAGCCACTACCTTTTTTTTTTTTTTCTGAGACAGGGTTTCTTTGTAGCCTTGGCTTTGTAGACCGGGCTGGCCTCGAACTCGTAGAGCTCCACCTCCCTCTGCCTCCCTGAGTGCTGGGATTACAGGCGAGTGCCACCATGCCTTTCTCCATGACCACCCCTTAATTCCAGAACCTCCTGTCATCCCGTGAATTATAATGTCCCTTCCTCAGCTTTCACAAAGCCACTTCCTGTCCACCCTCTTCGAGGGTCCCGGCAGGTACAACATAGTGCCCACAAACCCTATAAGAACGAAGAAAACGTGCTGAGGACGGACGGGAGCTTTGTGAGTGTTGGATTATGTGGCAAGGTGCCTGGCATCCCGAAACTCAGAACGGGGAAGCAGGAGGATCAGTGACTCAGCGGTCAGCCTTTGCTACAGAGCCAGCTGGGGGCCAGCCCGGGCTACATGAGAGCCCGTCTCCAAAACCCACTCAAGTTATTCAACATGAGTGAGGTGGGGCTACCTGTCTTGGGTGGGGCCAGCCCACACCTCGTGCCGCTCCCCTGCCCCCTCCACTTCCCCATTTGTCTGCCGCTGTCTCTCCAGTTCCCTAGCACCCTTGGTTCATTTCATGGCCACACCCCAAGGTCCAGCTCAAGTCCCCCGGCTCACCTCAGGGAGCAGGGTGCAGCATGCCTCCCCTGGCACAGCGAAGGGCAAGGCCCCCCGGGTGTGTCTGAAGTCTGGTCAGTGGGTGTAGGGCGGGCAGCTAATCCTGGATGACCTCACGTCAGGACTCTTCCTCATGCTGTACAGACACTGCGCAGGTCACAGCCCAATCTCTGCATCTGCAGGCCACACCGCCTGTTCTTGTCACCTTGTTCCCATGTTTCCTGAGGGAGCAGTCAGGCCAGGGGAGAATACAGGCACCTCCGAGGCCATCGCTCGGTGTCACGTGACCATGTGTCCCTAGAACCCTGCCCCTTCTGGTGAGGCTGGTGCCTGCCACAAGTCTGCAAGCATGACCTTTGTTTGTAGTGCAGACACTTGGGAAAAGTCCCTGTGCTTACACAGCTCCCAAATCCTTACCCTGTAACCCAGGCTGCTCTGCAGTTTGGGGTGTTAGGCCCAGCAAGAGCCTAAATATAAGAAGGTATGAAGAGAACTCAGGAAACTAATCATCCATCGATGCAAAAACGCAAGAGACTCCTCTTGACCATTGCACAATGGGGTCACCCCTGCTGGTCAGCAAGGAGTGGCACCGGGAGACAAAGACCTTAGGTTTTTAAAAGACACAAGGCGGGAATCTCCTGGGGTTCCCTTCTTGGCGATTTAGGATTGGATGAGGTGTTTAACTTTTAAAATAATTGGTTGGTTCTGGGCACCCTTAGGTCCAGTCAGTCCTGCCGTAAATATCTGATCTCCAAGTCAGTTTGGAATTTCTTGCCACATGAGATATAGCCACAGTTAAAGATGGGAGAGTAACTAATTTATCCCGTGTCTATTCTGAGGAATGGGGGGTTACAGGCTTTGGATCAAAGGTCAGGAGCTATGCAGGAGAAGGATTGGGGTCATTTGGCCCGGTTTTCAAACAAAGCCCATTTCACAGGCGCCAATCGGTGATTTACTCTTCATTTAGTAGGGATCTCTGCTTGTTCTCTTCCTTATCTCTGCCCTCACAGATGGCTGATGGCAGGAACTTTTACATTCCTCGGCTCTCTGGAGAAGCACTAAGAGGCTTTAATTAACATAGGCCTAAAACTGTAGGTTAAAAGGCAGTTAAAAGAAACATAGGTTACAAAGTTAGTCTGATTCTTTCAGGGGCAATCCTCCTGCTCCGCCTCCTGGGTGCCGGGCTGACAGGCCTGTGCACAGGCCCAGCCCTCACGCTGTCCTTTCCTGTTTCAGGCCTCCAGGTGACAGTTGCCAATCTCGCTGCCCATTCTGAGGTTCAGGTGCCACTAAGATGTCCAACCCTTTCCTGAAGCAAGTGTTCAACAAGGACAAGACATTCAGGCCCAAGCGCAAGTTTGAGCCCGGCACTCAGCGCTTCGAGCTCCACAAGCGTGCGCAGGCGTCGCTGAACGCTGGGCTGGACCTGCGGCTGGCCGTGCAGCTGCCCCCCGGCGAGGACCTCCACGACTGGGTGGCCGTGCACGTGGTGGACTTCTTCAACCGTGTCAACCTCATCTACGGCACCATCAGCGACGGCTGCACCGAGCAGTCCTGCCCGGTCATGTCCGGGGGCCCCAAGTACGAGTACCGCTGGCAGGACGAGCAGCGCTTCCGGAAGCCCACGGCGCTGTCGGCGCCCCGCTACATGGACCTGCTCATGGACTGGATCGAGGTGCAGATCAACAACGAGGACATCTTCCCCACCAACGTCGGTGAGTCGGGCCGGCCCAGCCGTCCGGACCCAGGCCGCCGCTGGCTTCTTGGTTTGTGTGTGCGTGTTCCGCACAATGTGCAAGAGCCAGCGGAGGTTAGGGAAGGCGTGGGGTGCCTGAGACTGGAGCTACCCGCTGCCCCATGGGTGCTGAGACCTGGCCCTGCGCCTCTGCATGCGCTGTTAACCACTGGGCGTTCTTCTAACCCTGCGTGGTAGTGTCTATCTGTTTATTTTTGGTTTTTCGAGACAGGGTTTCACTGTGTAGCCCTGGCTGTCCTGTACCTTGCTCAGGCTGGCCTGGAACTCAGACCTGCCTGCCTCTGCCTCCCAAGTGCTGGGACTAAAGGTGTGCAACGCCACTGGATTGCATGATGATTGTTTTTATTTTTTATTTTTTTTGGTTTTTTGAGACAGGGTTTCACTGTGTAGCCTTGGCTGTCCTGGGCTCCATTTGTAGAGCAGGCTGGCCTCGAACTCACAGCGATCTGCCTGCCTCTGCTCCCGAATGCTGGGATTACAGGCATGTGCTACCACACCCGGCAGTTCAGGTTCTCATGTTTAAGACGTCAGCATTTTCAAACTTGGCCATCCCCCAGGCCCTTTTTTTTGTTTTGGTTTGGTTTTTTGTTTTCATTTTGCAAAGCTTCAGTAGCCTAAGTTGGCCTTGAACTTGGTGTGTAGCTGAGGCTAGTCTTGAACTCCTAACCTTCCTGCCTCAGACCCCCAAATGCTGAGAAGACAGAACTGTGCCATACCTAGCTCTTTATTCACATTTGATCATTTGTTTTGGATTTTGCTTATCCATTTGTTCATTTATTTGAGACACAGTCTCACTGCGAAGCACTGGCTGGCCCAGTTTGTTATGTAGACCACGCTGGCCCCAAACTCTCAGAGATCAACCTGCCCCTCCATCCATCCCGATCAAGGCATGTGACCCCACACCTTGCTTTTATTCATACTCTAAAGTGTATAGTTTAAACCAGGCCTGGGGCTGCTGACATGGCTCAGCAGGTTCTCTACAGGAACAGAACTGATAAGAGTAAAATATGTATATAGAGAGAGTGTGTTAGTGTGGCTTATAGGTTGGGGTCTGTCTAGTCCAGCAATGGCTATCTCCTGACAGAAAAGCCAAGAATCCCATAGTTGTTCAGTCCAGGATTCTAGATGCCTCAGCTGCTCTTCGGTCTGCACTGGAATCCTGAAGAAGTAGGTTCTAACACGAGCGAAGGAATGCCTCCGCAGCAGGGTGGAAGAACCCGCCAGCAAGAGTGAGGGCGAGCAGGCAGAAAGCAAAAGCTTCCTTCTCCATGCCCTTTTGGGTGGGCTGCCACCGGACGGTGTGGCCCAGGTTTAGGGTGGGTCCAGTTGAGACTCCCCCACAGAAGCGGTGATAGTGGTGATCACCTTTAGTTCCAGCATTCTGGAGGCAGAGGCAGGAAGATCTCTGAGGTCAGGGCAACGGCTACATAGTGAGACCTTGTCTCAGAAAAAACAAGGAAGGAGGAAGGAAATGAAGGAAGGAAGGACGGACAACAGCAGCAAAACATAATAGAGCCAAGTAAAGGGAAAGCAAGAGCGTCACTGGGCCTCCTTGGCCCAGTGTCTGAATCTGCAGGGAGCTCACATCCTGCCTGGCGCAGGGTAGAAAGGCCCCTTCCTCCATCCTCAGAGCTGGCCCAGCCTCCTGCCTGGTGCCCTCCCTGCTTCCTCTGAGCACCCCGAAGTGACACTGAGCGCTGGGTGATCCTAGGCCCCAGCTGAAGGTCCTCAGCTCAAGGCCGCCTTCAGACTCTCTTCTGCCACTGTAGGGACCAGGACTTAGTGACCATTGTGGCCTCATTCAGTGAATGCAGGGCCCGGTGCTGGCTGCTGCTCACCTTCACCTTCCAGAGCAGGGTTCTCAGCCTTCCCGGGGCCACAGCCCTTTAAAACAGCTCAGCCACAAGGTGATTTTCATTGCTACGTCATAATAATGCTGCTGCTGTTAGGGACCGTAATGTACGTGTCTGAAATGCAGGATATCTGCTATGCGACCCCAAAGAGGTCGTGACCCCCAGTCTAGAAGCACTGTTCTCGCACGTGGCCTGCACACTGTGCTCTCCATAGCTCTGGCCCCGCGGCCACCCAGTCACACTGCTGCTGGCTTGGCCGCCCCCGAGTCCTGGGACACACACATGCCGTGTACTTGGCATCCTCAGGGCTGTATGGAGTGGGCTGTGGCAGGGGGGCAGCTGCCAGGCTGAGGGGACTTCGCCTCGGAAAGGTACGGTGGTCAGAATGCAGTGGCACATCACTGAGAGGAAGGCTTCCGGTGGAAGCTAGGATGGGCACAGGCTGTGTGACGTCCGGCCTGTGCCCCGACCTCCCTGGGGCTCAAGGCAGAGCACATGTCAGGCTGGGGGGAGTCTGGGAGTGTCATGCCAGCTGCGCTGAGTGCTGTCCTTCCCGGCCCCTCCGCCCACCCCAGGCACACCGTTCCCCAAGAACTTCCTGCAGGCAGTGCGCAAGATCCTGTCTCGGCTGTTCCGTGTGTTCGTCCACGTCTACATCCACCACTTTGACCGCATCGCGCAGATGGGCTCAGAAGCGCACGTCAACACCTGCTACAAGCACTTCTACTACTTCGTCACCGAGTTCGGCCTCATCGACCCCAAGGAGCTGGAGCCCCTGGTGAGCGGGGGTGGGGTGGGGGGCGTGTGTGTGTGTGTGTGCGTGAGCACTCGAGCCTGTCCGTGTGTGCTTGTGTGTGTGTGTGTGTGTGTGTGTGCGCGTGTGTGTGCTCGTGTGTGTGTGTGTGCGCGTGTGTGTGCACGCGTGTGTGTGTGTGTGTGTGTGTGTGTGTGTGTGTGTGTGTGCGCGCACTCGCGTGCGTGGGCACCAGCATGGAGGGGGAGATGGGAGGGGCCACAGCAGGTGTCTTCTGCATAGCCCCCCAGAACACAAAAGTCCCAGATGTTCCAGTTCACCACAGCAGAGAGGGTACCATGTGGTCATCCCATCCGGCATGGCTCGCGGCGTGCAGAGCAGACATGCTGGGGACCTGCCCAGGGTGGACAGCCGTGCCCCCACCTCCTAGAAACCAGCGCTACTTACTTATTGATGGGTTGATTTCTTTTTTATTTCATCCTTTTTTAGATTCTGTAACCCAGGCCTGGCCTGTGGTTTACCACATAGCCTACACCTGCTAGAACTTGAGGTGGTCCTCCTGCCTCAGGACCCCAAGTGCTTGGACCAGAGGCCTGTGCCATCAGACTTGGCCACAGTCTGCTTTTAAGTTTTTCTTTTCATTTTGTCTTTTCAGCTGGTCATGGTGGTGTACGCCTTTAATTCCAGCACTCACGGAGGCAGAGGCCAGCCTAGTCTACGAAGTTTCAGGACAGCCAGGGCTACACACAGAAACCCTATCTTGAAAAACAAAACATTTGTCTTTTCTTTGTTTAAAAAGAATTTTATCTATTTGCTTGTTTGTTTGTATGTTTGTTTACTGGGTCTCTGTGTAGCCCAGGCTGTCCTGGAACTCACAGAGATCTGCCTGCCTCTGCCTCCCGAGTGCTGGGATTAAAGCTGTGCGCCACCCCTGCTGGCTTGACCTCACTTATTCTTATTTTCTGTGTGTGGTTCGTCACCTGTGCTTCTGTTGCACCACATGTGTGCGGTGCCCACTTCGGCCAGAAGAGAGCCTCAGATCCCAGAAACTGAAGTTTCAGACACTTGTGAGCCTCCGTGTGGGTGCTGGGAACTGAACCTTGGCTCTCTGCTGGAACAGCCAGGGCTTTTAACTGTTGAGCCATCTCTCCAGCCCTGTGATCTTTTAATTGTGTTATATTTTTGTTTATTTATGTTGTGTATTCCTGTGTATGAACATGGCTGCCATGACATGTCCATGACGGTCACATGACAGCTTTCAGGTGAGAGATCCTCCTGCCTCTGCCCCCTAAGCACTGGGATTAAAGACATGTGCCAGCAGCAGGCTGGAGTGTTTGTTCTGAGACAGAATCTCATGTAGCCTAGGCTGGCCTTGAACTCCTGATCCTCTTGCCCCTACCTCCTGAGTGCTGCAGTGACAGGTGCCGACACCGTCCCTGGCTCTTAAGGACAGTAGCTTGTCCACTTCCCACTGCTGACCTTTCTAGTAATTCGTGTTGGTCCATGGCACACTTACCGGGCTTAATCACAGCACATGTCCACCTGGCCCAAGTCAGAGGCACAAGCTCTCTGACCCTCACAGGGAGCTGCCCCGCCCCCTCCCCGGTCCAGTTTCTTGGGTGTTTTGGGTTGTGTGAGGCCTTTGCTCCCCCTCCGTTCTGTTCCCCTGTCTGTGCCCCACATGCCTCCTGTCTGCTCACTCCACCTTGTCTCTGCAGAAGGAGATGACCTCACGGATGTGTCACTGAGGGCCCCTCCGGCCGCCAAGGCTCAGGGACATAGCCCGGAAGTCTGTGCCAGCTCTGTGCAGCCTGTCTCCACGGCATCACTCCCTCAGCCACAGAGGAGCAGCGGGACCCTGGCTTCCTCCCCCCTTGGTGACTGTGAGCCCTCCGACTCTAACCTGTCCCCTGGCCTGCCTCCAGGGGCTGAACTGGAATTCTGGACACTGTGTGCTTTCAGCCCCTGGGTTTACACTGTGTTTGTGCCACAGCCTCTGGCACGAGGTGCGATCTGGAGCCATTGCCACCCATCCCTTGTCCCTTCTCTGTCTGTTCGCCCTTGAGGCCATGACCTTGGTACGTGTGGCCAGTGCTTCTGTCACTCGCCAGCCTGGAAGGGGAGGTGGCACCGATCTTCTGTTTAGAGTCACATCATGTGTGGGTGACCATGTGGGCAGCCGTCATACCTCCAAAGATATGCCAACATGCCAGCCCTCCTTGCCCAGTCCTGCTGGGCGTATCTCTCCAGCACCCCAGGGTGAGAGTCCCAGCAGCGAGTGTCTGAAGGGTCTCTGCGGGTCAGGGAGGAGACACACACTGCATGCCTGGGATCCCAGGCCACCCTGACCTACACACTGAGGGCCAGGCCAGCCAGGCTCCATAACAGGACTGTCTTTAAAAAAAGTAAAGCCAGGCACAGTGTTGTATATCTGCAATCATAGCACTTAGGAGGCAGATGCATGCGGATCTCTGTGAGTTCAAGGCCAGCCTGGTCTAGAAAAATGAGTCCAGGACAGCCAGGGCTACACAGAGAAAGTCTGTCTGGGGGGAAAAAATGGGGGGATTACAGTGGTGGCACATGCCTGTAATTCCAGCACTAGAGAGGAAGAGGTGGGGGAGGGGGCCTCTGAGTTAGAGGCCAGCTGCAAGTTCCAGGACAGCCAGGGCTACACAGAGAAACCGTGTTGCAAAACAAACCAAGGGACAGCTCAGTGGGAAAGTGTTTGCTGCATAGCCCTGAGTACACACATCCGACCCTGCACCACGGAAAGCCAGGTGGTGACACTTGCAAGTCCAGCCTCAGAGAGGCGGACCTGGGTTCGCTGGGGGCCAGAGAGAGTGAGGGAAAGGCAACCACGGTCCACCCCTGACTTTCAGGTGTGTCTGCACAAACACACACAAGCCAATTCTGTCCTGGAGATCGCTGTCTCCTTTTATTTCTTTTTACATTGTTGGTTTTGATTTTTAAACAGGGTTTCATTGTGTAGCTCTGATTGCCCTGGAACTTACCATGTAGCCCAGGCTGGTTTCGAACTCACAGAGATACTCCTGCCTCTGCCTCTCAAGTGTTCAGTTAAAGCATATAAAGTAAGACACCACATCCAGTCCATTCAGAGAAAAATGTTTTGTTTTTTTTTGTTTTGTTTTTTTTTTTGCAAAACAAGGTTTTGAGACAGGAGACCTGTGTAGCCCTGGCTGTCCTGGGATTCATTTTTTAGACCAAGCTGGCGTCAAACTTAAAGATCTGCCTGCATCTGCCGTCTGAGTGCTGGGACTCAAGACCTGCATCACCACACCCAGCCCACCTGGAGGTTTTAGAGAAAATCTGTAACCACTTTCTAGTGGCTGCCCTCTGGGGAACAGTGTCCAGCGCGTCCTGGGATCCGCTGATTAATTCTCATGTGGCTTCCACTAGGCGCTGGATGTGGAGTTCCCTGGAGGGTGGCAGCAGGGACATTTCCTTCTTCAGTGGCAGCCTATTGTGTAGCAAAACTTTGTGCGTGACCCCTGTGGAGCACAGGACCAAACTGCAGCAGACCGCTCTGCCATGCCATGGAGGGTGGAACGGGGCGTGATGTCCCTGCGCCAGCCTTTGACCCTCTTGGCCCTTCCCTTGAGACCCCTGCACTGTGAAAAGCCCCGGTTGTTTTCCCCGTGTGCAAGGCTGCCACTGAACTAAGTACAGTTAACAAAATGTCCATGCCTGAGCCCGAAGCCTAAGAGGTACCCCTGGGGCCCTCCAGAAGCCACTGCGCCCAGTGCTCCGGCCCTGGAGAAACCCGGGGACCAGCCCTCTTAGGCTTGACTGAATGTATCTCACCTGCAAGACTTGGCCACTGTGGGGAATGCCAGCAGCCCAGGGAGGGGTCCGCCCGCCTCTCCACACCACAGCCCTGCAAGCCTTTATTCTTAAATAAAGTGGTCCTCTTAATGCTGCTGGCTGCTGTTCGTGTGCCACTCGCACCCTGTAAGAGGGCCAAGGTAGCCCGGGAGGACTTGAGGCGATGCAGAACGCACTCGCAGTGTGTAGCTGACAGGTTTTGTTTTTCTTTTGCGATAGAGTTTGCTGTTGTTGAGTGAATGTGTGTGATGTGTGGGGGACAGGGAGTCCGTTTTCAGTACTAACCCTGAGCCACGCCCCCAGCACCTCACCGGGAGATTCTAGGAGGGGCTCCACTCCTGGCCACGCCCCGGCCCCCCAATGGGTGATTCTAGGCGGGGCTCCACCCTGGCCACCTCCCGGCCCCCCACTGGGTGGTTCTAGGCGGGGCTCCACCCTGACCACGCCCCCGGGCCCTCACTGGGTGATTCTAGGCGGGGCTCCACCCTGGCCACGCCCCCGGGCCCTCTGTTTTATTGAAAAGCATGCAGTCTAGACCGCGGCTTGAGTCCCTTTCCATGCATATATTACGACTGTAGATGGCAACAAGAACTTGGTTTAGACAGGGCTCCTGTTTAGCTCTTCTGGTGTCAGTGTTCACTGACATCCAATTCATGATGACCCTCCTGCTTCGGTCTCCCATGTCGTGGGGTGACAGGCTTTCCCTACGTGCCTTGTTGGAGCAGCTGCTGAAGCTTGTGTGTCCAGTGTGAGCTAAGCAAGCTCCCTGGCGCCCCAGCCGTTGGTCGCAATGCTGCTTCTCATCCATAGAGGGCGCTGCGAACTAAGGGAGGAGAGCAGCCCCTGAGTCCAAGCACGGCCACTGGGCCAGCCTCAGCTTTCTCCCTCCTGGGCTTGTGTGGCCTGGGGGGGTAGTAGCCAGAGCTGAAGGCAGAGCACCTTTTTAATGTCAGGCAAGTTAAGGGGAAATACGATGTATGAGAGGCACAAGTGGCCAAGGTGTAGGGTGGAGGTGGCCTGTCCCTGTCCCCAAGAGACACTGTGGCCACCGCCGTCACACTCAAGTGACCTGCTTAAAGTAACACTCTGCAAGACGTAACTCCTACAGCAGGACTGCCTCTCCCCAGGACTCCGGTTTGTAGGTCTGCGTTTGAACTGCCTTCACACGACGTTACACGGCCCATGACAGGAGGCGCAAGTGCAAGTGGGGTGAGGACACCCCGACTCTGTCTCCCACCTCTCGGGTGGGTATGGCATCCTGATCCTGGATTTGCCTGCTCTGAGCATTTTGTTGTTTTTGTTTCATTTTCCAGACAGGGTTTCTCTGTGTAGCCCTGGATATCCCGGACTTGCTTTGTAGACCAGGTTGGCCTCAAACTCAGAGATCCGCCTGCCTCTGCCCCTCTGAGTGCTGGGATTACAGGCATGCACACTGTGCCCAGCCCCTGGGCATTTCTCGTCATGGAGTTCTACACTGTGTGAACTCTTCTGTCTGATCTTGTCATTGAGTGCATGTCTTCAGTGTCTCTCCATACTCCTGGGATGGTTCCCCAGCTGTTCCCAAGGAACCTGGCCTGGCTTTTACTGGCTGCAGTGCTGGCCTTGGCACACACTGTGTCCAGCATGGATGGCACACTGTGTGTGTCCAGCACAGGTATTTTAGGTAGCTCTTGTGATGGCCTCTGCTCCGAGATGTTTCTGTGGCCCCTGCTTTGGTCACCCTGGGCCCCTCCCAGAGATTCTGTCCCCAGCATGCCTCCAGAGAAGGCCAGGCCATCATTGGTACACCAACTTCTAGCCTTCCTCAGCACCCAGTTGCCTGGGGACACAGAATCAGGCAGGCTTGGTCACCTCACGTTCCCTCCACCTAGGCCCCACACAGTGTCCTTCGGGTTCTAGGGAACGTGTGTGTGTCAAGTACCAGTGCCTGCTGCAGTCCCGGTCTCAGTGTACGGCAGGCCTCTGGCCTGGTCATGACTGAGGCAGCTGGCCCAGATCACCAGAGAAGCCCCACCATGCTCAGCACTCTGCCTCCTGCTGCCCCCTAACCCGTGCCCAAGGCCAGCCGGGTCACTGTCGTCCTGGGCGAGGCTGGGGACTATGTCAGTGGATGTTGCTGGTTTGTCCTGTTGCCTAGGGACTCCAAGATGCCAGCTCCAGTGGCCATCTGCTGTGGCATCCCCTGGGGCCTCTAACTAGACAGATTGGTGCCTTCTAGCCTGCCATGTCACCTGCCACCCCTTAGGTACGATATCGGCACTGTACGGCTGTTTCCAGAATTCTCTGCTACCCACACTGAAACTCTGTCCAGCTAGCTCCATCCTTCCCTGCCATCCCACTTCTTGTCTCTGTGGCTCTGCTGACTCCAGGGACCTCTTGGAGTGTCTGTGTGGTGTGTGTCCTGTGTCTGGCTCATGTCACTGAGCACTGTGTTCTGGAAATCCCCTCCTTGGCCTCCATGACCTTACTTTAAAGTTCTACAAAAGATTTATTTATTTTGCTAGGCGAGGTGGCTCACACCTTTTATCCCAGCATTCAGGAGGCAGAAGCAGGTGGCTCTCTTAGTTGGAGGCCAGCCTGGTCTACAGAGTGAGTCCGGGACAGCCAGGACTGCCACAGAAACCCTGTCTCAAAAAATAATAATAATATTTGTATGTATTAGTATTTTACCTACACGTGTCTGTGTACCCTTAGAGGCCATTATAGAGTCCCTGGAACCGGACTTACAGGCAGTCATGAGCCACCATGTTGGTCCTGCAAGAGCAGCCAGTGCTCCATTGACCTGCCTCTTGAGCTCCAGACCCCATTCCTTGAAATCTATTCTTTTGTATGCTAAGTTAAATTTTTAACTGAAGGTTTGGAGGAATGGCCCAGTGGTTAAGAGTACTGGCTGCCCTTGCAGCAGAGACAGGTTTACAGCCCAGTGTAAAGGGCCTCCTAACCTTAGCACAACTGATTCCATGATGGAAGTACCACCCAGGCTAGAAGCCCCAGCAAGCAGAGGCACTGCCTGCCACGGCGGAAAGACCTGACCCACCGAAGCCCGTGACAGGAAACACAATGTACTGACTTGGCTTTTGGCTTCTGTCGTTCTGTCTGGCTGACTTCTTGCTTACTGGGGTATGTCAGCTCAGGATGTGGTTTTGTGCTTAAAAACTCACCCTGAGAAGTGTTCCAGGCCACGCTGGGGTCTACGTACGCACATACACAGTGCCTAGTGTGGCCCCTGGCTGGCTCCTAAAGTCTTTCTCTAGCAAAACCCCGCCTGTACATCACACCACGCTGGAACCACATGGCGGCCCCTGCCGCCCCCACCACACAGCCCCCTTTAGCTCCAGCTCCGAGGGATGCGTGACCCTCTCCTGTCTTTCACAGAGAGCGGGCACATGTGTTGTCCAGCCACACACGCAAAGCACTCACAGAGATGACCATTTTTTTGCTCTTACAGGGAGGACCCGAGTTTGCTTCCCAGTAGGTGTGATTTTTTTTTTTAAGTAGGTGCAATTTTTAATTCAATTTTATTTGGGGTTCTGAAAGCCTCTCTTTTCCAACCCACAACCCTAGATAGGAGAGAAAGGTTAGAAGGGAGAGGGGACCTTAGCCTTTTTACTTCTTGCAGCTGGGTAAGGTTGTCAGGTTCTTTTGGGGCAATACTAATTTCAGTCATCAGGATACCCAGCAGTCCAGAAACCAGCAAAGCAGCAAAGGCAGCAAGCGTCCTCCTCATTGCTCTCCCCCAAGCACCTCCTCCCTCTGAACTCTAGTATTTATACCCCACAGAGTCCTCAGACTTCAGCCAACAACAGCTGGCAAAGACCACGCCCCTGCATGGGACAGTTGTCAGCTGTGGACAAAGTAAAGGACAAACTAAATCCCAGCACTTGGAATTAAAACAAAAATATGTTTACATGACATAACCGAGTTTTTACAGGAACCAAAACCTCTGTGACACCCACTTGCACTGGAGGCTCACAGCCACCCTTAACTCTGGCTGGGACAGTCCACGACCTCTGTCGCCTATACTCACACACAACTTAAAAATAATAGTTTTTGTTTTTTGTTTTGTTTTTCAGACAGGGTCTCTTCAGGACAGGCAGGGCCACACAGAGAAAAATCTGTCTTAACAACAACAAAATAAGAAATATAAAAATTTGAGGACTGAAAAAGAAATTCAGTCTAGAACGCTCTCCTGGCATGAGTAAGTCCCTTGGTTTGACCCCCTGCACCCACATAACCTGTGTGTTCTGGTGCCCATGTCTAACCAACCCCAGCACTTAGGAGGTGGAAGCAGGAGAATCAGGGTTCCATATAAGAACCCCATCTCAAAAATGCAAAAGGAAAAGAAAAACGTAGGCTGGGGAGACCCAGGCTTAGGCCAGGAGTACCACAGCCATGAGAGAGCCATGTGGGCTAGCCTGCCCTGCTGAACCCCATCCCCAGCTTGTACCCCGACCCTCAGGCAGGCCCGAGTCCAAATCAGTCAGCCACTGAATCCCATTCACCCAGGGCTGGAAGAAGAGCTCTGGGATGGCTGAAGCCAATGTGTTGCCTAGCAACAGCTGGCTTCTTGGTGTCAAGGGCCACAGATGGGCTGTGGGCCAGCATGGCAGGGCACATGTCTGTACCTTGCAAGGGCCTGTTACAATCAGGGGACACAGACATCAAGCCTGTACCCACTTCCTACCGGCTGCCAGGGCCTATCATAGTTTCTTCTCCTATGGCTTGGGCCCCTTGTGGCCAAGCTGGCTGCAACAAGTGACTACGAGTTTAGGAACTTACAGGGCCAAGACTGGTCATCTTATGTGACTAGAGGTCACAAGTCTGACAAGGGTTAAAAAATAAGTCCGGCGTGGCCAGGCCAGTCTCTCCCTGTGGCTCTGGCATTGTCCCGGTGTGTAGAGGCCAGCAGCCATTTCTTCTCTCTTCCCAAGAGACAGCTCAGAGTCTGTGTGGCTGTGCTCTGACCCTGTCTCCCTTTGAGGAGATCCCCACAGTGACACTTGGCTTCCAATATCATGGTCCCCAGCTCATTTCTTTGCTCAAGCCCCGAGAGGTGAAGCGGCACACCCTCTCAGTACCTCATGGCACAGTAAAAAAGTCCCCATGCAAGCTCCGCATTCTAATATCCTTTGTCCCTGTCAGGACAGGCCAGTAAGGACCCAGTGACCAGGGTATCGGCCTCCCACAGCCACCTGGTGTCCATCAGAGAAGGCAGGAGTACCGCGGATTGGCCAGGCCAGGCCAGGGTGGTGGCTTTCAACCAACTGCTGAGCCAGTCCTTCCTGGGCCACGGTTACAGCCACTGCCACTCCCTTAGGGACAGTGAGTGCAATGCTGGACTCCAAGGGAGGTGGGCCTTGTGTGGTGTGACTGGTCAGGAGGATGGGGCCCCAAGGCTGCTGGGACATTCACAGCCTGGTCAGACCTGGCAGCCACAACTCCCAGGCCACGCCCACTGCTCCCAGTCATCTCTCAAGCTCTGGCATAGGGCACGGGCAGGCCAGGGTTCTGTCCTTCCTCTGCCCAGGGACTGGGACAGCGAGGTGACTCAGCCAGCAGGAAGGCTTGCTTACAGCCAGTTGCATCAGACCAGCCCTGTGGCCACAAGACAGCTCTGACTTGCATCCATGCCTGTCACTCTGCTGGGGACCCCTCACTGGGCTGTCTGGGGGTTTGAGTGCTGGGCCTGAGGACTCCGAATACATTTCATCAAATCCAACTTCCTCAACCCTAGGTGGTCATTACCATCCTGGAGCCCTGGGTGGTGTTGGAGTTGGTGGCCCTGTATGGAGCCCCTGAGCCTGGGCTGAGCTTTGGGCAGGAGAGACTTAGCCCTCCCGTCAGTACAGGAAGGTGGGGATTCTGCAAGGTCCTAGCACCAGCTGCAGGAAGCTGTGCCATGGTGCCTGCTCACACTAATGCACGTGGACAGAATGGCTGCTGACACCAAGGAAGGCAAAACACGCGCACACAGAGGGGTCCATGGGAACAGAGAGCAGGGGTACACAGCCCTGAGGCTGGGAGAACGTGAGGGCCCATTCCTGTCAGCAATTCAGCCCCCCAGGATAGGGCTGCCTCAGGCCTATCCTGGGAAGCTTGACACCAGCCTGAGCTAAGCAAAGTCCCTGCCTCAAAAAAGCAAAAAAAAAAAAAAAAAAAAAAAAAAAAGACTGGCACAGGGTGGCACACAGCTTTAATCACAGCACCCTGGAGGCAGAGGCAGGTGGATCTCTATGAGTTCCAGGCCAGCCTGGACAACAAAGCGAGTCTAGGATAGCCCGGGCTACACAGAGAAACCCTGCCTCAAAAAAAAAGAGAAAGGAAGGAAAGAAGGAGAGAGAGAGAGAGAGAGAAAGAAAGAAAAAAGCAAACAAAAAATCAGGGGTGGGGCTGTGGCCAGGGGAGACCTTGTCTAGACTTTCCCAGTGAGGAACCGAGAGGGTGGTGGTCAGGGTGAAGGCCCCTAGAATAACCCAGTGAGGGGTTTTGGGCATGGCCCTATCTGGTAGAAAGGTCTAGGTTCCATGCCCAACCTGACGGCAAGGAAGGAAAGAGAGCCCAGGAGCCAAGTGATACAGGAAGCTGAGGCTGTCTGCCTAGGGCCCCACCTCATTTCCTGTTTGTTCTCCCTCTGTAGCCTGAGAGTCTGCTTGAACCTACTGCTCTAGTGGTCCCAGCTGGGCCTAAAGCATAGGACAGTTTTAAGCCCCTTCCAAGGTTGACTACCTCGCCTGGGATCTTGGGTTGTGGGGGGAGTAAGCCTGGGAACGTCTCTGTCCTTCCTGCCTGTCCTGGCCTTGTTTGGGACTTGATCCACCCATCACCTGGCCAGCCAAGCCTAGTCTGAAGGACAGAGGAAGCAGAGGGTCTCACGCAGGCTTCCTACAGGCATTCCTTTCCATAAAGCCACTGACATCCCCGTGGGGCAGAAGCTGTGCCAGCAGGGGAAGTCAGGCTGTCACCAGCTCCCAACCCCAGCCTGGGAGCCCTGCTTGTAAACAGGCGGTTGGAGGTAGAGGCTTGACAGTTGGCTGGCGGCATGCCCGGGCAGGGCAGGGCATGGCAGGGTGGAGTGACCAGCTCCCAGGCCCTGCCTGGTGCCTACAGGGTGGCACACCTCCTTCCTCTTTCAACTGGCTGCCCTTTCCAGATGAAAGCATGAGGGGGTCCCTCTGAGTAACCCTGGAGACCCAAGGTGACTATTTTCGTGACAGAAAACACACTTGGCTGTCAAACTCACAGAACTTTACACAGAATGGCCGAAGCACCCACAGGGCCCACACCCCCTACTTACAAAGGTTTAGCTTCCTGCCTGGGGAGGACTCCAGGAAGAAGGAACCAGCGTCAAGGTTCGGCTTCTCTCTGGGTTTCCTCAGTTTCCCCATTTACAGCATGGGGCTCCCAGAGGGAGCCTCAGGACCAGGCTGGGAGAGTGAGAACACTGGCTCTAGATCAGGGACCAGAAGTACCACCTCAGTCAGGCCTTGGCAAATTAGCGTTTCTTCCCAACTTCTGAACTAAGCTGCATGGAACAAAATCCCTGACTTAGGGCTGTTTCCTGCTGTGAACAGCTGCCCCTGGTGGGCCACACTTGAATGGTGCCAACCTCTGCCCCAGGGGCACATGCCAGCCTCACCCTGGGAACTTTGGTATAATGTTATGCTGGTCTCGGATTCGAAGCAGCTCTCTGCCTCCAGTGCGTGCGTGTGTTTGTGTGTGTGTGTGTGTGTGGGTGTGGGTGTCAGCACACAGGTGGAGGTTAGTCATGGCCACTCATGGAAGTCAGTGTTCTCCAATGTGTGTGCCCCAGGAACAGACTCAAGTTGTCAAACTTCGTGGCAAAGTCCTTTAACAGGCAAGTGGAGGTCCTGCTTTGTGCCAGCCAGGAATGATTCCTCTGAAGGCCCTGCGCTGAGTTCTGTTCCTCTGCCCAAATCTGTCCAGATAATGACCCTTGTCCAGGGCCTGAATTGGAGATAAAAATCTAACAAAGACGATAATGAGGCTTGGGAACTAGACACGACTCGGAAGGTAAGCCCACCTGTTACTCTTGGAGAGGACCCAGGGTTCAGCCCAGCACCCACACCAGCCAGGTCATAGCAGCCTGTAACTCCGCCTCTCCGCTGGGTTTTCAGGCCTCTGCATGCATGTGGCACACGTCACTCACACAGGCGTGCACGTGTGAGAGCGCACACACACACACACACACACACACACAAGCGTGCGCGCACGCACGCATGCAGAAACAACAGCTTGAGGTTCCTAAGGCTCCAGCCTCCTGGGTTGGTGGTGAAAACTTGCAGACAAACTACCCTGGAGACGGAGAACCTCTTTGTGCACAGGAGCAGCCGAGCCAGCAGGCACAACTCAGCCTCCCTGTGTCCGAACCTGAATCGGGAATCCCAGCCCCTCCAAGGACCCAACCCCCACCAAGGGCTCCAAGGACCCGAGAGGTTCAAGAGTGAACCAAGACCGGACGCAGTGGGCAGCAGTACTCTAGTCCCTAAGTAAGGAGGACTTGCCCTCCTTCGGCAGCTGACGGCGGAACCCAGATCTAGGAGAAGGCTCAGAACCTCCAGCAGCGCGGGTCAGAGGGACGACCGGCCTCAGCCCGAACACTCAAGCCGTCAGTGCCCTTGTGCGCAGGCGCAAACGAGACACGCAGGCCCTCCACACGCCTCTCCACTCCGGGTGCCCCGCCTCCCCGGATCGCGCAGCCGCATTCGAGGCCTTCCCAGGCTCCGCCCCACTGTGGGAGCGCGCAGCCGCACTTGACACTTCCTCTACGCCGCGCGCGCCACTTCCCTCGGCGCCCTCCCTTCCCACCCCCGACACACGCTCGAAGTGCGCAGCCGCGCTCGGCGTCGCCAACACGCCCCTCGCGCTGCTCCCCGGGGCGCCCCGCTAAGCTCCGCCCCTCACGCTGGCCGCGCGCAGCCGCATTCTGCATCTCCTCCGGGCTCTCGCAGCCTCCCTCGGCGCCCCGGGAAGCTCCGCCTCCTCTGTTCTCTGAGAAGGGCGGGGACTGCGCGAGGGGGCGGGGCCACTCCGGGACCGCGCCTATAAAAGCGGCCTCGGCGGCCGCGCGCGCGGCTCCTCTCGGCTGC